TTGAGGGTGTGAAGAACTCCGACGGTGTGCCATTCATAAGGACCGAAAATGACGTTGAGCGGAGGCATTCCTGGATCCAGCCTCTCCAGGTAGAGTTAAAAGCCATTTTGTCCAAAACCGCAAGGATAAATGACCATTAGACTCTATCATAGGCCTTTTCATTGTCAACCTTTAAAGCCATGTACCATTTCTTGCCTCGTGTTTTGATTTTCAAATAGTGTATTAGCTCATGCCCTAGTAGGACATTCTCCACTATTTGTCATTCGCGGATGAAAGCATTTTGTCCCTCCGAAATGATCCGTGGCAAGAATCGGGCTAGTCTTTCATACATAATTTTGGTTATAATCTTACACACAAACTGGCATAAGCTTATCAACCTGATTTGCCTTATGTCTTCTACATTGTCCACTTTAGGGATCAATGTCATCCAATTGTTATTACAATTCTGGAAAATCCTGCTCATACTAAAGAAAGAATGAACAGCTTCAGTAACAGATTCACCCACCATATCCCAAAAGGACTTGAGGAATTTCCCAGTGAACCCATCAGATCCTGGGACCTTCTTCGATCCTATTGAGAAGATTGTTTTACGAATTTCACTAGGAAGGACGTCCGTCGTAAGACTAACATTCATCTCAGCCGTTACTTTATTGGATATCGGTAGATCTGTGACCCTAACTTCTACGTTCAACACTTGATTCTCTGAAGTGAAGAGAGTTTGATAAAAATCTTTGGCAATGTTAGCCTTCCCTCTTTTTCCAGATGCATTATCTTGTTTTCAGTGGATTTTTTAGGAGCTTCTTTAAGTTTTAACCACTTATTTTTTTTTAAAAAAAATTGTGAGTAATTTATTTGTTTGCCGCTCTAGGGGGTGAACTGTGGATGTTCTTGGATGGACTTGCCAAAGCTGGGGATGATGTCGCATCCTATGTGAAGGTACATCCATTTGGAAAAGACTGCCATTATATCACTGCATCTTGAATTTGTGATTAGGCTTACTACCAAAAATCGTCCAAGATCATGGTGAAATCTACTAATAATCATCATTAAATTTGTTATTTTCCATGTTTTTTTGTTGTTTTCAATTGGATTTTGGTCAGATTGAATGGTTTCTTCTATTATTCACTTTTTGAAATTGAATATCCATGATCAGGTTGTTCTTCTAATTAAGCTACAATCCCAAATAAGAAATTTGTATTTCAAAAGACACTTATTTCAAACTCATGCATAAACATCAATTTAGAAATAATGAACCAAAAATTAAACCACATAATTATAAATCCATTGGTGATCAAAAGAATTGGTTCATAGTTCTTCTCTCTTTTGCTATCCTTTTGATCTCTTTTTTCTTAATTTCTCCACGTCCACTCAGACCTGTACTAGTTTTTTCATGTACTTCAAACCTCTTCCTCAATTCCATTATGTTATTAGCATCGTCTTTCTCCTCCACTCATATAGTTTGATGATATGAGGACTACTAAAAAAAACCAACTTCCTTTTATTTTATCAGGAGTCATTCTCCTCTTTTCTTGAATTTAATTTACTCCAACGTCTCATTTTAAAATTGAAAAGTCTACAAATATATCTCAATCTTATGCCGTAACAAAAACAACAAGGAAATATTATCACAACTCTTCCATCCCAAGACTAATCATATGAACATTTTAAGAGCAAAAACTACCTATAGAACTCTCTTCAAAAATTCTAAAATGCAGGCAGATGAGAACCAAATCAACATGCGGTTAGCATGCTAGTATACGTGTAAGTAGTGTTAACATGTTGGTAAGAGTTACAAAGAGCTCTTTTTATTCACTTATAACTATGAATATCCAAAGTCTGATCAGTATGAATATAATTTTGATATTCTACCTAGGTTCTTGCATAAATATAGAAATGAATAAGCCAGTTTTTTTTAATAGGGTAATGAATTTGCACTATTCATCCACCCAATTTGTTGCCATCACTACTTCTTTGTGGCCTAAGGGCAATGAATTTGCACTATTCATCCACTCGATTTGTTGCCATCACTACTTCTTTGTGGCATCTCCTCGCCCAAAGCCCTATCGCCGACTGCTTTTTCTCTGCCTCACACCAGAAAACAAATACCTCTCTGTTCATCCTCGGCCACCATCCACCCATGACTTTCTTCTCCTTCTTTGTACCGTTCGGAGGTTGAGTACAGATTAAATGCTATGCTGGATTTTGAACTTTAATTTTCAAAAAAGAGTTAGAATAACTGAATTAAGAGACTTTGGATCACGAATCTAAATGCCCGTCGTTGGTTTTACTAAACACCTTTTAATGTGGTAAAAATAGGTGATATTGGATGACAACCGCACTCCACAATCAACCTTTGGGAAGAATGAATACTACATCCTATTTAGTAGTAGTTGTAGTAAAATGGTGACCCAGCCCGACGGTTCATTTGTCCTTATTAAAGTTGTTAGTTGTGTAATGATCGACTAATTTTTACGATAGAAATTTTGTTTTTAATGGACCTGGCCAAGAGCGGACCCAAGTAGTGGGCCGCCCAAAAAATTTGTGAGAAATTTAAGTTTTGTTGGCATAAAATCGGAATTCGGGACTTACGACAAGGAGTGGACATCTGGTCCGGGCCGGATCAGACGAAATCTAGGAGAATCACGATTTAATAGTGAAACATATCTTAGGATCAAGGATCAGACAAATAGTGCATTTGGTTCTTTTTGGTCCGCTTTGATCCGGTCCAAATGTCAATTCAGATAATTTTTCTTCAGTATTTACAAAATTTATGGGACCAAGGACCAGACCATATTATATTCAATTCGGTATGGTCCGGTCCAAACATCGATGTGGTCCGGTATAGACCAACCCATTGCCCACCCCTACTTACGACAATGTTTCAATAATTGTATACTTTTAGCATCCAACAAATCGAATTCGGGACTTGCGATAATGTTTCGATAAATATATACTTTTAGCATCCAACAAACCGCCCAAACAAATATTATTCTAATTTTGAAGTGCATATATCCATGATGAACAACCCTTTAAAAGAAGAGCGATTACAATTTACATCACGACGATACACATTAAAATCACCAAAAAAGTAGACGAATCCATAATCAATTAAAATCCACCGTTCACCTACTTCATATTAATTCTTAATAGAAGATACACGTAATATAAAATGCACCTGAAGAGCCACCAACCGGCCAACCTGCCAGTCACAGTACTAGTTAATATGATGTGTTTCGATCGAACACTTTATTGACATGATCAATTCATCACAATAATTAGTTAGGTTCTCGGAAAATGTCAAAAGATAAAATTTTATGTCATATACTTAGAAGTTATAAGACATCTTAAGATAGAAGCACTGGATAAAATAAGTTCGCAAAACCAACATTCAGTGTGGACTGTGGACCGTTAGTTCTCTTTTCTTGAAACAATGTGGACTCTTAGTTGGAAATCGAAGCAAGTTGTTCGACATCATTTTCACCATAAAAGATTTTGAGGAAAAAATAAATAAATAATGGGAAAAAGGGAGGAAGCCAAAAATCCGGCGGCCGGAATCCCTTGAATTTGGACGCGCTCAAAAGCAAATGCTTGCTTTACTAGGAGAAATAGAAGTAAAAAAAAAAAAAAATTGATTCAAGGTCAAGGTTGTCAAATCGATTTATGTCAGTGTGTCATTTTAGCAAGTGAAATGATTCAATCGGTGGCGCATACCGGTTTGTGCCAGTTCATGCCGGTCATTATTACAAATAAAATTATAAATACTCATATTTAAACATGACATATAACGTCAATACCTAAACATTTATACTTGAATCCAACAAATAACATCAATATTTAACTTTTATACTCATAAAATAAATAATAAAATAATTTTTAACAATTAAATTCACTAAAATAATGTCATTTTATTTAGAGATTCGTATATCGATCATGCCGGTCATACCAGTAATGTCATACCGGTTTTATAACCGGTACCGGTTGAACCAGGTACAACCAGTGGCACGCTGGCCGACGCGACAAACATGTTCAAGGCCCACTAAGTAAAATATTTAATTATAACCCCAAACGAATTTATTAAATCAGAAAAATAATTCTTAGTACAAATCCAAAGCATTAAAGTCTGACAGCATCTATTAACCCATAAGTTAAATTACAATACTATTGAAAATTTGAAATCATTCATCTCTCAATCCAACATATCTACTAAATAATAAATAACCAAAATAAACTTGTTTTCAAGGGGAAATAAGTGAAAGAGTGAATGTCGAACTGAGGAAAAGAAATTAATGTTCAGTTTTGATGACCACTCAATTACATTTCAGATCTTTATTTTTCTTAAATTACCCTTCCTATGATTGATAAGTTACCATATGATCCTTTATGCATGAAGAAACACTCTTAGTTGAATGTTATGGATATTGTATGGAGTGAGGAAGCCTAAAACCAACCCTTTTCCATCTCCATCAATTTTTTTTTTGCGTGTTTACTCATACTAGCCACATATCCAATAAATCTAGAGATATTCATGCTGACTGGATTTGCGGCGATTGGGTGCCGATAGTCGCAGATTTGATTGCCATCTCTAGTTATCAATCTCATAAAATGTTGAGTGACCAAGTGATAATGTATATGAAATGAGAAAATCATAAAATTTTATGAACTTAAATTTGAGGTTAGCAAATATCTTTAAAAAAAGTATGTATGTGAATATTAATCAAACTATGTTCCTCCCCCTTTCTTCATTGTTGTGGTTACTTGTTTCGAAGAAGATTTGGAAATCCTGTTGTGATCCTTCTGAGATTTAAGTTTCTTCTCTGCTTCTGATGGATCGATGTTGGTCGGTGTCTCCTTGGGCCATGGCTTCTCCTCCTTGGGGTTTACAAGGGTATCTTCAAGCCATATGAGTTGGGCCTTACATTACGTGGTTTTGAAATGTAAGGCCTTTTCAATGTTTTTTTCTTTTTTTTTTGCATTTCTCAATGGGTTTCTTAAATTTTGTTCACATTTCTGAATACATTATCAATGAATTTCAAATTAAAGAGAAAACAAAAAAAGATACTAAGATAGGATTGAAAAACACATGACATTATAAGATGGTCTAATCTATCCTTTGAACACAAGACCATCTAGTTTGTTTGAAAATTGTTTGTCTAGAAGCTGATCAACCAACTTTTAATTTATTCCACTAATTAAGCTAGCTGACTCCTAATTACCCATCAAACCAACAAGCACAATCATAGTAAAACCCAGGAGCCATGCATAATAGTTAAGTAGGGTTCAATATTCATATACAAGTTTACCAAAAGCCTCCCATTTATTAATAAATACAAGAGAAGCACATGTACATATATAGTACTGCTGCGACCGAGTAACCCGCCAGAATCGTGGAAGTCTAATGAGATGAATGCTGCCGGCGACGACGAACGTGGGTGATCAGGTGGCTCAGATCGGCAACAGCGAGCTCAAATTCAACAATAACATTACTGTAGTCTGGACCAACGGAGGCTCCGTTGAGGAAACGGGAAAACCAGTGGGCAGAGAGCTTGGGATATCGGGTCAAGTCCGGGTCGTCCAGATCCACGTAATACAATCCGTATCCGGTCTGGAATCCGCCCAGTAGCTCCAGCACGTCCATCAGCGACCATACAAAGTATCCTCTCACGTTGCAGCCATCCCTTTCCAACCAAATTTTTTCCCAGATCAAATGAAACATGATGAACCTAAAACTGGCAGAGAGAAACAGAGCTGGAAGGCAAGCTAGCTAGAAAGTTTACCTAATGGCATCCAATACAGCGCCAATGTAACGATGGAGATACTCCACTCTGCCCGTGTCTTTCAGGCTTCCATTGCGTCTCTCGACTTGCCCTGCATCGAATCGGTTAGCGAATCCTGTGCGAGGCGAAAAGAGATACGATGGAGATTGCTTAGGTTTACCATTTTCATGGACGTAAAGAGGAGGATTCCCATACAGCGTCCTGAAGTCCTCCAGAACCTCTCGCAAAGCCCCCGGCTTTACAGGGAACTAACACAGGACATTAATCGAAACTCAATCAAACTAGAGCGGTCGATTCGATTACAAAAGGTAATAAGAACATTGACAAGAAGGAAGTTGTAAGTAATGGAAGGGCTCACTCCATGCGTATAACTGTCCAAGCTCACTGCCAAAGTAACAAAAGATAGAAACCAATAAGAATCTACAGGGGAGGAGGAGATCGATCGAGCAACAGAGTAAGCGAGCCGAGGGAGCGAATAATAAGTAAAATACCCATCATCTGAGCGCCAACATCAGCATAGAAGTCCCGGAGCTCCGAATCGAGGCTTTCGGGGTTGTCTTTCATAGGCATCTCCATGTAATGTATGACGCCAAGGAAGTCGAACGCTCCCTTCACCAGTTTCGATTCTCCGCTCGTGAAACTTGGCAGCCGCGACCCAACATTCCTCTTCATCACCTCCGGGTAGTCCCCAAACACCAGCGGATTTACAGCCCTGAATCCACGCGCGCCAATTCGATCAACATGTCTGTCTGTGCCAAATACAACAATTGATTTGGTTAAAAGGAACAGAGGACTCTGCTTCACCTCACCAGCCAATGAAGAAGTCTTTGGCCCTCTTGGCTGCGGCTACATCTGCTGCAGAGTTGGTGTAAGGAACTACGCCGAATGCGAAAAGGGTCAGTCCAATTAGCCCTCCTTGCTTCCTCTGATAATTCTCCCTGTACAATTCTACAGTGGATCCATGGGCGAGGAGGATGTTGTGGAGGACCAAGTAAGGCTCCGTCGTGGAATTCCCTTGAGCACACGTCGTGACGCCGAACGGCGGCGAGCAGCGATGGGGAGGACCGAGCCCTTGACCGTAGCTGCCGGAGGCGAAGATGTTCGGCTCGTTCACTGTTGTCCAGTGACCAACTCTGTCGCCAAACTCCCTGAAGCACACCTCCGCATAATCTCTGAAATCTCCCCTGCAACAAAAAAAATTCCACTTCCACACTCAAAATCCATATCTAGCTCTCTCTGCATCAGCTTAAATCAGTTAGCTAGGATGTACGTAGTTCATACACCATTCTTCGACTAAGCCATCCTCCGTATTCATCCTCGAGAACCTGAGGATGATCGTAGTTGTACAACGACACCTGCGGCTGGATTCCTGAAATTAACCAACCCTGTTCATGAATGCTGCTAAAACATAAAAATCACGATTATCTCCTACAAAAATTAACTGAAAAAATGATTGCCCACCGTGGCTAATGAGTTCATTGATGAGGTTGTTGTAGTACTGGACGCCTTTGGGATTGACAGCTCCTCTCCCGCCTTCCCTTGGACAGAATGAAAGAAGCAGAGGGGGAAAACAGAGGATGAGAATACAGAGCATTAATTTGAAGAACAGCAACATTAATTAATCAGTTATATCTATTACCAGGGATGAGCCTGGACCAGGAGATGGAAAATCGGTAGGAATCCAGCCCGATTCCAGCCATTAGTAGTACGTCATCCTTGTATTTATGGTACTGGTCGACGGCGACGTCCCCTGTAGCTCCGCCGGCGTAACCCTCTTGGACGAAGGTGTCCCACACGCTGGCGCTCCGGCCGTCCTGGTCTGCAGCTCCTTCCACCTGATACGCCGACGTTCCTGCGCCGAAGACGAACCCTTCTGGGAAATCACCTCTGCTGTACTCCTCCTCGGCTGTCAAAGAAACACCTTCTGCTGCCGCGCGGCTCAGAAGAAATGCCATGAGGCAGAGTAGCCAAACCCACCCACCACTCGCCATTTTTCTGTGATTTTTTGCTGGGTGATGTTCTGACTGTTAGTAATTAAGGTTAGTGGGCAGGGCAGGCGATCTCTGGGTTAGTTCCCATCCACCATTCATGTGGCCAGGCTTGGCCCTGGATATATCTTCTTTATGTGTCGCTGTTGCTGATAAACTAAAATCCTTGCTCTGTTTTTCATAATCGTCCCTGTTGGTCTTCTTTCTCCTCCCCTTCGTAGCTTTTGTCGTTTTCATTTGGTTGGGCAGGATGGAGATGGTGCATTTCACAATGATGGACAGGTTGCCAATTACGTTTTGGATTCTGGGAGCCCATTCCCGGACAGTACAGGGATGTCCATTTCATGCTCACAGTTCGAATTGTTCTCCATTCAGAATCAGAAAAAGGTAAAATCGTAAATTGTAGAATCGTAAAAGAGTAAGTTTGTGACGCGTAAAATAACTATAAATCTGTTAAGTACGATATATACTATGTAAAATATGAGTGCACATTATTTAGATGAGTTAATAAATACCTGTAATTCATGTTTAAAGTAGAGCAACTCGTAGCATCTTAACAATATGCCATCTTCCCCTCTATGCTAATGAATTTGGGAAGGATCTAGCTGCTGAATTAGATTACTCTATTGAAGCTGAGAATGCATCCTAAGTACACCTATACATATTTTAATCTCAAATGCATCATATTGTTGGTGATTTACCTTTCAATATACTTTTTATAATTCATTTAATGAAAAGAATACCCATTTAGTGAACTAAAAGCGTAAAATCGTAAAATGTATTGCTGAACTAGAAGCGTAAAAGCGTAAGCTTTTAAACTTATAAACTCAATTTAGTCCGATTTTATGCACTAAAGATTTTATATGGAAACCAAAACATTTTGATGATCTAAAAGCGTAAAACCATAAACTTTTAAGTTATAAAATGAGATTTTGACTGCATTGGTTCTCATTATATTAACAAGTTTTCCATTGTTTCATAGTCAGTGTCTAAGAAATTTAGCCCTAACCATATAATCAAGGGACAAGGGACCAATTAATCTCTAGACATAATCAAAAGATTTAAGCCACCCATAATCAAAAGAACACAAGCGATTTAACATGGTGTCTCTAAAGATAAAGATCTAATGCACGGGAGAGATAGAAGCTCATAGTCAATTGTATTAGCTTAGTTGCACCGTACAAAATGCATCAATGAGTATAAATTATGACTGTACATAATGCAATGGGGATTCCCTAATCCCTAGTGGCTTAGGCATGCAATTCGTCGTATTGATCTTCTTGCCAAGCGAAATGATTGAGGGATTGACTTGTCACTTCGATTTTTGATTGTCATTCATGGTCTCATATTAACAAAGTAACATTGAAGTGACAATCATATGCCAATATGCCAAACAAACAAGGGGTCGAAAACTTACCCAAAAGTGCTTGAAGAATATGTATTTATGGTTGGTGGGTAATAATATCTTTATCTACGAAATTCAATCAGTAAAATCGTTACCAAAATATTTTTCGCACTTCCTCTTCATCTTATTTTTCAATTCCCCTCTATCTCACTTTCTTCATTTCCACTTTTGCATTCTTTGTCCGGCCCTAATTAGTATAATATTTATAAGTATTATAATTTACAGGTATAAATGGTTCCATAAATGACTTACCAACAGGTCTATACTAATTAATAATTGAATAATGAACCATTAACTTTTTCATCGAAATGTCAAATTCAATTAAAAAATAATATTTTTGTTATACTTACTTATTAGTACATTTTGTTTTTCTCGATAAAATTTGAAGGCATGAAATTTTCAACTGAGTAGTGAGTTCCACTTTCTATTCCCATTGTTTCTCTCTTTAGAGCTTTTCTTTTTCATGCGGACTAAAATTTTTGCTAGTTACACATAGAATGTGCGACTATATATATATATATAAAAAGAAACATCAATAAACAATTACTTTTTTTCTACCAAAAATATCAAAGACAATTTTACAAAAAGTTGCCATCATAAATAGATCAGCTAAAAGGAATCAAATTTCAACAAGCAACCAAAACAAAGCAATAATTGAATAGCTAGCTTGCGGTAAAGCACAATCTCATACAAGCCCACATCCACAGACCACAATACATAAACCAGCGGCCCATATAAATGTTGGGCTCTTAACACTTTGCTCGTCCACAAGCTATACGCTTAAAGCTCCAAAGTGGACCAAGCCTCTACTACTCGTAAATGCTCCGTTCATTTTTTTTCCCCTATAATTGCACTAACACAAAATAAAATTATAGTACAATTAAATTATTGCTTTCTGAAAAACAAAATTGAATAACACTTGGTTGAACCTGATTCAACCGGCTGATATTTCACCGGTGTGACAATCATGAGTAGTATGGAGGGCAACACAAAAGCACAAACAAATATATTGCAGTTGGGGGATTATCGAACTGTCCATCTCATTAAACTCACCATTTCCCCAGAACTGAGTTTTGTTGTTTTCACCCAGCCACCATATTATTGCCAAAAGTTTTTGGAAAAAAAAAAAAAAACCAAAACCAAATGACAAATGAACACGTTTTCTTATTTATGTTTCTTGATTTTAGTTATTGCAACGGAAAACAGATAACGAAATGATAAGTGAACATGACAGTAATGTTCGACTAGCGAGCTTCTCTCTACTGAGTTGGTGGATTTTATTTATTGGCAATATTACGGAACGAGTACCTGGTGGCTGGCGTGACACCCAATGATTAGGGGGGTGTAAATATTGAGAACCGAGATCAAATAGTTTTACAAATAAGAACCGAGTGATCATTGCATTTGATTTGATTTGATTTAATTTGGTCTGGGTCCAAATATCACTTTGTTCTATTTTCCTTTATTTTTAATAAATTTATGAGATTAAAAACCAAATCACATTATATAAAGTTCGGGTATATTCGGCCCAACGGTGACGTACATAGGGTATAGGTGCCAATAGTAGAATAAAGTCATGCAAAATGAAACTTACGTGTTGGGAAATTTCGGTTGCCTCACAAAACTTACAACTACTGGAAAGTCTGGAATGGATTCCGCAAGCGTAATTTTCTATAAATTGGATGATTCAGTGTAGATTACACTGCTGGTCGGTTTTCCGAAGGATTGCGTTCTGAAATGACTAATCCCAAACTGCGGCGAAAACGTGATCAGTGACGAAATACCAACCCCTCCCGCAGAAAAGAAATATAACGAGAAAGGGACAAGATACCAACGCTGTAGATGGTTTGTGGACACACCTCTTTGGTGGAATATATTTTGTTCTAAATTCTAACCGCTTTTGGATTTTAAAGATTAAAAAAAAAAAATCACAGCCTAAAACCACAGAACATGTGATGGATTGCACCCCAGTACAAGATTTTTGGGAAATTTATTTTTGGGACAACCAAAAGTCCAAAAGGGTGGATTTAGGGCATTTTAGGAAGGGTGTCTCGGACACCTCTAAAATTTGGAATAAAAAATAACGAATTTCGGCACTAATATGAGTTTGGGGCAAGGGTGGATCCATGGTCCTTTAGGGGTGTTTTAGGACAACCCTAAATTTAGAGATCTTCAAGTTGTAGTTAGAATTTGGAGGAAAAAAAAGTGATAGTCTTTGTGATTCAAATCCATAACACTATAATTATTAGAAAAAAATATTATCCATTACACACTACAAATAGTTGTTCTCATGTTAAAACATAAATGTAATTATAATTCAAACCCATAACACTATAATTATTAGAGAAATTTCTATTAACAACACTATAATCCATCATATTCATCGGTCTTTTTTGCTTCTTAAACTTATATTGATTTTAGTGTTGTTGCAGCTGCAAGTGTTGAAAGAATATTTTACAGCTTTGAGCTACATCAAGAACAAGTTTCGAAATTGAATAGATGATTGGTTTCTAATCTATTGGTTTCTTAATGATTATTGTAAGACATTGAAAGAGATTTGTTGAACATTGAAGACACTGAGTGTATTAGAAAATTTTTCGAAATTGAATATGCATTAGTTTCTTAATGATTTCTAGTGAGATATATTGAAAGATATTTGTTGCGCATTGAAGATACTGAGTGTATTTTACAAAAAAAAATCAGAAATATAAAAACACGTTGTGGTGTTGTTGTCGTAACTTGTACTAATTGGATATTTTAAATAAATTTTTTAATATATTAATTTAATTTTAGAATTGAAAACCCCTAAATAAAATTTCTGTGTCCGCCTCTGCTACGAAGTACCGTATTCAATTAATTTGAATGATAATTTATTGTCTATTACTCAATATTACTGCGTTGTGAGCTTGAATGTAATCAATTTGATCAACATCATTTATGAAAGTGAATCATTCTACATCTAGCACAATGGTAAGTAAGAAATATTTAGGGGGCTACAATTGGTTTTTTCTCTTTTTACAGAGTAATTAGTTGTAAGTAGTTCGCAGTCTTATCATGCCAATCTCTTAAGAAATGCATGTGCTTAATCAAAAGACTCACCTAATATTCATGCACAAATATGGTTAAATTCCAAGGCTCGTGCACAAGCTTTAATTGAAATTCAAATACGTAGAAGTTAGGTACCAGCTTTCGTATATAATTAATGCACAGAAGCATGTTCAAACATTAATACAGAAAAACATAATCGAACAAATGTAGATTAAATATCACATGACTAAATTAATTTACATGATTAACTGAAAATGGGTGGATTCAATAATCATTTCAAAATGATCATAAACGATTAAATATCAACGCAGAATGCTTCACTAACTAATGTTTAACTGATAAATTTCAGAAATTTTAGAAATCAAATAATTGTGTATTAGTCGGTTCATCATTATAAGTTCGTTTTATGATTAAAGAATATGAAAGGGATCTAGTATAGATGATCAAATGGTAACCAATTCACATTCACATTATATATATGTACACTTTTAGTCATTCTGTGGAAGAAAGGAATATGTTAGCTATTCATTACTTTTGGCGAACGCGTCGAGAATCTACTTTCACAAAGGGATTTGCTTTACATATTTGTTGTGCCGGTTAATATTAGACGGCACTAGATGAAGCAGAGAATTATATTATACCTATAAGTCAAATTGCGGGTCAACTTATGGGTTGATGCGGATTGACATGAGAAAATGGGCGTCACACACTCGTGGGTTGATCCGCAATTTTTTTTTCGTGTTGGAGGTCACAATCTATCATTTTTTCCTTTGGTTTGCAAATTGCGCATTTGTTCTAGTTTTTTCTTTCGCCTATCCTTATATGTGAAATTCTAAATTGAACATTTGAATATAAATATTATATAAAATATGTTTGAATTTTCACTATATGTTGGATTCAACTACGAATATTTTTTTATTGTTATAATATTATGTATTATTACTCATATGTTAGATGAACTTTGATATAATCTATAAATATATGAACAATATTATGATTTTTTTCATATATCCTCGCTAAACAAGACTAAAGCGATCGGACCATTAATACTCAACTCACTTATTTAGCCTGGCCAACAGGTTAAACCTAGTCGACAAACCTTGCTTATAACCTAATTTTAAATTAGGACTTTGCTACGGTGACATGCATGTCACCGTAACTTGCACTTTTAGGTCGACCTTATATAGGATTAGGTTGACCTAATATGTCGTTTCAGTTTTGTGAGGTTCAACGACATGGTTGACCTTTTATAACAAATGATCGACCTCTTTGGGAAGCGATGTGGGTGGTTCTTTTGCTCGTAAAAATTACGTTTCAAACCAACGGAATCAGTCATAAATAATGATAACAAGGACTCATAACTTCATAACATAACAAATAAACAAACTAACAAGAAATACAATAAAACACAAATCATAATTGTTCACACATAACTAAAATCTAAAACCACATAATATCAATCCACAATCGTTTTTTAACTCTTAACGATAAAAACACACAATCTAAAATCACCGAGTTCTTACTGTTGTCCCCCTCTCTCCCTCGTTCACATTTTCTTCATTGGTGCTGCTAGCATTATGGTATTCGGAAGTTACGGTGACATGCATGTATCTTCCACTGAAAGATCGAAACTCATCTCGCATCTCATTCACGGTCACCCGATCATTTGCCCAATGTAGACGTACATGTCAGTCATCTTGGTGGAAATCTGGCCCATGTAGTCGTACATACCATCCATGCGCTTTCCAAGAGATCAACCATTTGCTATAAAAGATCAACCGCGCCGTTGAACCTCACAAAATTGAAACGGCATATTAGGTCGACCTAAAAGTACAAGTTACGGTGAAGCTGATTACATGGAGCCACTTGCATGTAATTTTGTAACCGTCTTTCTCCAACTTTCCCTTTCCATCATTTCCTCCATTCTTATTCCACTTTCCCTCTATATATACCACCTCAGCTGGGGCGTGTGTTCTCCACACTCTCTCCTCTTCTCCACCTCCAAAAAAAAACTCCAAACCCCACTAGTTACCTTCCTTTCCTTTCCCCTCTCCTTATCCTTCCCACCATGGCTCTTCCAACCAACACCTCCACCATCGTCCAAAACCCCGACCCGCCCCAAACCCACGATCCAAACCCAGCAAAGCCCGCTCCTCCCACCGCCGCCGCCGCCGACCTCGAAGCCGCCGACGTCGTCGTCCCCTTCGACTACTCCAAGCGGGCCCAGTGGCTCCGGGCCGCGGTCCTCGGGGCCAACGACGGCCTCCTCTCCACGTCATCCCTCATGACGGGGATCGGGGCCGTCCACAGGGACTCCCGGACCATGCTCGTCGCCGGCCTGGCCGGCCTGGTCGCCGGCGCCTGCAGCATGGCCACGGGCGAGTTCGTCTCGGTCTGCTCCCAGCGCGACATCCAGCTGGCACAGCTCGACAGGGAGCTCCGGGCCTCGGCCCTGTCGCGGGCCCAGTACGAGGAGAGGAAGAGGAGGGAGGTTCCGGGCCCGGCCCAGGCCGCGCTCGCGTCGGCCCTGGCGTTCGCCGTGGGGGCCCTGGTGCCGCTGCTCGGGGCCGCGTTTGTGGAGCCGTACGGGTTGAGGATCGGGCTGGTGGTCGGGTCGGCCAGCCTGGCGCTGGTTGGGTTCGGGTGGCTGGGCGCGGTTCTGGGTGGATCGCCCGTGGTTCGGTCGTCGGTCAGGGTTTTGGTTGGTGGGTGGTTCGCTATGGCGGTTACTTACGGGGTTATCAAGGGTGTTGGTACTACCACTGCTGGGATTTAGTGAATTAAGCTGTTAATTGTGTCATCATGACGTGTAACTAAAAAAAAAGTAACATATGTTTACACGTTACGTCGAATTTACTGTATGAGAACAAATGTTATAGTTCACCAGTTGGTTAAGAGCTAGAAAACGAGTAATTGGAGGAGAAAAAAAAAGGGTAAAGAAAGGGGGACAAGGTGGAAAGATATATAGATGCTTGTTGCTTCGGGGGTTTTTTGTTTTCTTTTGTAAAGCAAGCTGTGTGTGCGAAGTGCTTTCATTTCTTACGTAATACCTCTACTTTTTTGGATTGTGGAAGATGGGTCTTCGGGTGCATGGTATGATCTTCATCGTGGCTCTCATTTTTTGACTTCTTCAAAGATAAAACTATAGTTATGGTTTGATGATAATTAAGGGTATTAGTTGTTAAAATATGGGTAGCATTATGTATTTGAACCGTTGTCATGTAATTAGGGTTTGCAATCTCTAGCCGATATATATTCGATCTTCTCTTCTAAGTTCTAACTAGGGTGGCAGTTCGGTTAATTCGGTTATAACCGGTAACCGATTGGCCAGTTATCGGTTAATCGAAATAAACACCCCCCTTATCGAAAATCGACCGAAATAGGATTCGCTTTCTCGGTTATCTCGTTTATCGGTTAACCAAACCAATTTTAAGACCAAAAATCATTTTGGCCAGCTTCCGATAACCGACCGAAGTTCGGTTACTTTAATTACCGGTTAGTGGATAACCGACCGATTATCGGTTTAACCGGCCGATTAACCGGTAACTGAACTGCCACCCCTACTTCTAACCATGTATGCCATCAACCCAAATAAGATTGAATCGGAGAACTCTTACCTCTTTATTGATTATAAGGTGGTACACAAAGATATCTCCAACACTTAAATAAAATTATCTTCACCTACTTTCATCAAGTAATAAGAGAAGCTTACTCACTTGATTAGTTGATGGTAACAGATTGTCCTTATATGTCCAATTACAGAAGTTAAGGAAGCGAGTTAATTGGATGTAATTGTAGGCAAGAGTGAAGAGTGAGGATTAAACGATAGTGTTTAATCCATGCTGAGAAGCTAGTTGGATTATAGAACCAGAAGGAGCTTGGTATGGGTTTGAGGTTTACCAAGAAACAGGAGAAGTGGCTTGGATTATCACTAAAATTAAGCAGGAAAACGGAATTCTCTGTCCAATAAACTTTGATGCATAATAATAGTGATACAACCCCACAAACACTTAACATAATTGATTCACTAATGCAACGTTTGCAGGGAAATCCCCATTCCTGTTGAATCAATCAAGACTCAAATCTATGCCATGACCTTTTTTTTTTAGCTCCAAGGCTGTTCATGTTTTTTTCACGCTCTTTCTTGGAGCTTTTGTTGCTTGGACCACTGGCCATAGTCTTGAACCACATTCTCCAGGAGCTCTTTCGTTAGATTATCCACCACAGCTTGCACTATCCTGCATTTTCCACAGCAGTTCCGTTCGTTGCGTAAAACAGGTTAGAAAAGTTGCAAATTCAGTATACCAAAAGAAGAATTTGGGAAAATCCCGTTTGGATCCGTTGGATGGAGTAGGCCTAAGCATCATGCAACATGTCCGTCCTCAACCAACCGATCTTTTATTTGATGGGATTGGTCGTGGTGCAAGCAGAACACGAGCAGAAATGAGTGATCGTGGTGCGCTCGCATTCCACGGGCACCACAACACTCCGATCATGCCTCTGGGAGCTGAGGAAGCATGAGCACGTATTTGCGCCTACCCCATTCAACAGCCAAGACGAATTGCCAGAAGCGGAAATGAAAGCTAATGAAGTTGGAAATGTAGCATGAAGAGATTGAATGACTCACATATTCCCAGGAATTTCAACGGCAGCAGGAGGCAGCAAAGAGAAGGGAAGTTTCACGAGCTTGAAACACGGAAGGGCAGAGTGAGTAGGTAATCATGAATATTGACCAAGAACCATGAAGAAATATCATGAAGGGCCAAACATAACTGATGTTAAAGATAATGGCAAAAGAAAGAACTCACTGACCTCCATTATCATATCCAATTCCATCTTAAGCTCAAGATATGACTCCGAACCCCTGGTATGCCACATGATACGGCTCAACAATAAACCTGCAAGTTAGAAAGCAAATGGAACACGAATAGTTTCAGTTTGTAAATTGAAAAGATGGGGGAAGTTACACAACGGGAATGCATCAAAGCTTCTAAACAGCAATAGCATCCTTAAAATGATAGAATTGACAAAAAGAGCTAACACTACTATAACAAATAAGTACCTATAAGATGGTCATTTTCGCTTTCCAGGGCCTCTGCACCTCGGAACTGCTAATTGCTTCCGTTAGTAAGTTTTCATCTGATCTTTCAGACACTTTACAAGATCTATCAATCAACGGAAACCTTACCTTGAAAGAAAGCATCTCCACGGTGAAGTTTTCAGCAGTCGTGGTTGTCCGCAAATCCATAACAGGGAATGCATCAAAGCTGAGAAGTCGAATTTGAGGGAGAACCAATCTGTACGTGCAATCGTCAAGCACGTGAAAGCTCTTGGCAACCTTGACGTTCAAAGCCGACTCGACCCCTTCGGGATGACTTAAAAACTCGCTAAAATGATAACCATGTTCAGAAGGTGGAAGCTTCAGTCCGTGCTTCCTTACGGCAGTCAAATGTGCTTTCTTTATCCTCGACTCAAGTGCAGTTCGTTTACGTACCATTGTGGTCTCCGTTCTTCCTCTGAAAACAAACGCAAAACACTTCTCTTACTAGAACTACTAAATCTCAGGACTTCTATTATTAGTCAATCTCGGGAATAGGTACGACGAGAGTTGCATTGGGGAAAAGCATACGAACCCAGATGTGGAGTGGCGTGGCAGAGTGAAAGTTGCAATGCTCCTTGAAAACCCAGCTTGTGCACTCGCCATCATTCCGCAAAAGCTGGTTGGATCCGCCTTCACTGGGAAAACAAGACAAATGAATTTTGATACTGGGAATCAACTTTTAAGATCCCACCAAAACCACCAAACGGCCACACTCGTCCTTCAACAGTTGAAATCACAATCCAGTAACAACAGGCTTACCTGAAGAAGGCAGGGAAAAAGGTGAAGCGCCATAAGAACGTGTCCCGGAAGACATCCACCAATTCCGAGAGCATTGAAGAGCCTTCTTTTTATGAACACGAACTAAGGCCTGTAAAGAAAGCCAGAGTAGCCAAATAGCCGTTTTCGAGCAGACATGCCACATGCATGATCCCAAAAAAAGCAATATCCGTAACAGAACACCACGTCACGCGGTAGATTTGTCAAAGCTGTTCAATCCAGAAGATTAAGCTGAGCTCAAATATTTTAATAATATAAAATTTCAAGCTTTGAGCTTTCAAAGATTGACGCAAGCACCAGGACATTGAAACTTGAAATACCACAAAATTAAACAGCAACTACCATCTAACAAACGTACAAAGCAAAGAACATCAGCTACAACGTAGGCCACCAGCCACGGTGGATGCCACGTAGTGGGACACATGGCCGTGCATGTACCATCATTCTTCAGAAAGATGCATAATGTCATCGGGATTTCTCAATCACCCGAAGCTTGGCACTCCTGCATCGTCGGTTAAGTCTTTCTTCTTCTTCGGAAGGTGTTACAGGCCTCTTTGTGAGAATCGACCCATTTGGGCCACGTACTATTTGTTTGACCCATGTTTCTTTTGCTTCGCCAGCACAGTCATCTTTGGGGACCTCACCAGTTCCGATAATGCTGAGAAACGTTTGTTTGACGATTCTGTCTTCTAAACTATGAAAAGAAATGACAGCAAACCTTCCACCAGGTGCAAGGCAAGCAAAGCAATCCTTGAGGGCTTTCTCCAGTATACTGAGTTCATCATTCACAGCGATTCTCAGCGCCTGAAACACCCGAGTTGCCGTCTTTATCCACCCTTGCCTCCCTCCTGCCAGCATTGTTAAACCAACTTAAATGGATTCTCACAACTCAAATCTTTCTGAACAATTGTTAGGCCGCATTTGTTAACAGAGTTGAAGTGGCATTACCCCTTGCCCCATGAGTCATGCTACGAATGAGATCAATCAGCTCTGTGGTGGAATGTATACCACCCTTTAGACGGGCTAGAACTATCTTATTCTGGAGGAGACGCCAGTTGCTTTCTTCGCCATAATCTCGCAGCACTCGACCTACTTCTGCATCTGGCCAGGAATTTAAGATGTCTGCTGCTCTCAGACTTGCCTGCCATATTGCTTGATATGGTCAGTTTTACAGATATTCAACTCTACTAGTATGACCACATATGAGCTAAGGATCTTGAATGGCAATAGACACTATCATCAACATTCCATCTGGTTATTATGAGATACACAGACGTCCAGTATTGGAAACGACAACTCCCTTACTTGGCCATTTGAAATGAAATGGATAGAAGTGAAACATTTCTATTGCTGAGAAATTAAAGAAAAACACACCACTTCGAACAGAGTACAGAAGACCTGACCATAAGCAAAGAAGACCAGTACGAATAGCATTACTGCAAAGGAAAGGAGAGACATAGAAGATACAAGAGCTTCCAAAGGTATACAGATTTGGGTACCAACAGAAGAGCCAGCACAAGTTGCCACATATGCTAGGAAAATGGTGGGAATTTAGGCCATAATCAAGGGATTCATTAGTGTTGTAAATCATCAACTGCTTCCTAGCACGCTAGATGTTTCCATCTGTTGTCCCGTTGATAACTTGTTCCCTATACCAATTTAAGCTTGCCCGTCCTTACAGTTCTCTTCAATACCTCTCCCGTCATATTAATTCAGTTCCCTCGTCTCATCACAATCCAAGTCTAACCAGATCCCCAACTGGGGGCTTAACACAGTATGCATAGCAAGTGAATGTGGCTACAACAATGAACTTAAAATCCCTATGATTCAGAGCTTAACAGGGAGAAGCTACATAACAAACAGCACTCCAAGTTAACCAAAGAGAAGAGCCAATGGAAAAGGTCGAACTGAGGTTCAATACCTGAGGATCCATCCGCATATCGAGCGGCCCATCAGCCATAACACTGAACCCTCTTTCGGGATTGTTCACCTGCAAAACAAGAAGCTAAGTCAGCTCGTGGTGCACTTCAAAAGGTAGAGTAACTTGATCGGGGTGGACTTGAGTAGGGAATTGCTTGCCACTACCTGCATCGAAGACATTCCAAGGTCCATCAAGATCGCATCAACCCCGGATTGCAAGAGGTTGGCATCAACTTCACCGATCACTGACTTCACATTTCTGAAGTTCTTAAGCAACGTGTGTGTTTTCAGGTGAGAATGAGAATCGGAAAGCAAGAGGGCATCAATGTGAGCCCGAGCCTTGGCGTGAGCTTCAGGATCAACGTCCATACCTATGTATTGCTCCAATTGAGGGTGCGCTTTGATTATCTGATCAATTTCATATTTAACAAACCAAGAAAACGCTTAATCAAAATCAATGTATGCAGAGTGTTTGGCAAAGGGGGAGAGGAAAGGGATAAGGAGAATACGTACGGCGGAGGAATGGCCGGCGGCGCCTAGCGTACAATCGACGAAGGAACGGAGAGGCATAGAAGCGAAGACGTCGACAACTTCACGGAGCATGACGGGGACGTGGTCTTTGTTACTGCTGTGGAATTCGAGTGAGGAGTCGTGCTCTTTATCGGAACGAGTTCGTCTCTTCTCCTTTTCGCTCTTCGCCGCCGCTGCCTCCGCCGCTTTCTTCCGCTCCTTCTCCTTTTTCCTTCGTCTCTTGGCGTCGCCGCTGCTGGTAGTAGTAGTAGTGACAGTCGCAGCGGCTCTCGCAGCTGTTTGGCGAATGGAAGTCGAAGGAGGAGGAGGAACTGTCAGTGCTTTGGTGGTGATTGTAAGGCGGCGAGCGGCGGTTAACGGAGAGGGGATGGAGAGCCACCGGCAGAGCATATGGCCGGTCGCCATGTTTGCCGGTTAGTGTTTGGTGTTTACCGCTCCGCTATCAAATCTGCTCCGACTTGCGCTTCCTGTTACAAACTGAACGGTTCGTCAATTGACGGGAGCATGCCTTCACTTGGGATTTGGGAGGTAAAGTAACACACAAGAGTAAATAAGTAGTGATTTTGATTTTTTATTTTTTTCAAGTTTGATGTGGCCTATGGGTGTGTTTTCGTTATAAGGTATCACTTGAGACATTCGAATTTTGGATTCCCAAACAGTAAGGTGACTAGAGGTTGGCTCGTCGGCCGTGGCTAGTGCTTTGCTTCAATTCAAGTACGTGATGATGTTCCGGCATCGATATGGAGAGGGTAAGGGTATTTTCTTCGGGGCACGAGAGATAGATTTTTTTTTTTTTTTACAATGGGATCACTTGCATTGCACTTTGTAAGATCAATTACAAGAGAAATCAAAGAGGAAACCAGAATCAGAGCAGGAGTAAACATCTCCAAGCAAAAGTTGAAACAAACAATGTTTCAGAGATAGAAAAAGGGAAGCACAGAACACCAAATGAACCAATCCCTACATTGGGTCTGAAACACTTGATCCACAACCAGTAAACACAAAAATCTCTCTTGCAACCAAACCAAACAAAGTAGCACCAAGCACATTCAGCTCGTCCGATCCGATCGAAACCACGGCTATTGAACACAGCAATGCCATAAGCCGCCTCCTGGGAGTCGCTCGAAGACGCTCAACACAGTGAATCTCAGATGTGGGATTACATGGCGGTGGTCAGGGATGAGAATCAGATTGCTCCGACCTGAAGAAGCAGAGGGAGCCAAGGAACCAAATCTTGGTGAAGGCGAGCAGGAGAACCCACACCCCAAAATCCAAGAACCGTCACCACAGCCAACTGGATCAGACTCCATCATCTACCCAACGACGACGACAACGAGGTAGATCTAAACCACCCGCAGAGGCCAAAGGGGGAAAACGGTGAATGGATTCACCAAAAGAAAGATAAATCCACCATCTTGAGGGACAACCACCACACAAAGTCTGGTAGAGACGCCAAAGATGAAAAATCCCGCCCCAAGGAGAGCAAACTCAGAAACAAGAACCCTAGAACAGAGAACATTGAAAAGCCACATAGGCAGGAAAAGCTGACAAAGCTGGAAAATTGCCTAAAACATAGGCAAGAGAGCTTGAAAAGGAACCATGGAAAAAGAGGGATCAATGGGCTACCGCCGGTCACCAAAAGGTGCCGGCGGCAACCCCTGGGGAGGCAGACTGGAGAGTTGAGGAAGAGAGAGGGCAGAGAAAAGCTTTTGAATTAAAGTGGGGTGAAAGACCTCGAGAGATAGAATTATTGTTGATGTTTTGCACACTGACCTGGAAAGAGAAAGCAAGAATATTGAAATGGCCCGAGCACCCCTTGAAATGAGTGCATGTACATCACACCTCCTACGCTGGTTGCCAAAGCTCCGAGTGAACCCGAAATAGGCCATGGACTTGGATCTACCAAATGATAAGAATGCAACGTCCATGAATGAGAAATCATAATCGAACGACTCAGGACCAACATTTGATTGTTAAAATAATATATAATTCATCTCCCTTTCCCTATTGGTCGAGCAATTTCGTTACTTCAAGTTCAAGATTAGTGATTAGAGTAGTTTGATTTTGGTAATAGTTATGACCACAACACAAAGATCATCATCGTGATCTTTCCCCCAACTTTTTTTCTTCGTGATCTTTCCCCAACACACATGTATAAGTTGAATTTTCACAAAAGGGGCATTATAGAGAGAGGAAAAAGTATGGTAAAATTATGGAGAGAGAGGAACGAGTTTGGAGGATTTGGGGAGGTTTCTTCATCAATCCAACCCCAATTCATCCAACAAGGAGAAGATGGATCTAGCTAAAGATTGTTCTTCTTCCTCTTTGTACACTCTTTATTTTTCTATATGCCATCTTCTTCAGTTGTATAGGAGAGAAATTCTATATTTTAGATTTGAATTGGGTTTGTATGTAGACCTTGATTGTGAACCTATTATCTTCATATATTGATGAGTTATCATGTTATCCTTTTGCTTTGACCAAGTTTTAGGGTTGTGTGTTCTTAATACATGAGAGTGTCCATCTAATTAGGTCAAGGTTACAACATCATTCAATAGATTGAAATTAGAGTTGCATGTCCATTGAGTTGTAGTTTCATTTGTTTAGGAGTAAAACCCATTAAGAGAAGTCTAAGCTTATTGCTCTAGGCTACTAGTTGGTTTCATGCCCATTCAGCCAATTGGCTGACCTAGAAGTTCAATCGAGAGCATGCCCATTGACTTGATAACTAATTCAAGTGATTTCTTGCCATTTAGAAGAAAGGGGAAACATTATTTGGTTTGCATCTCATGTCAACTTATTGCTATTTGCTAGACGGATTGACCCTAAGCAACACCTCACCTCTAGTGATCCTCTTTGTTATTAGTTTTTGTTTCTTTCATTCTCATATTAGTTTATTTTATATTCAAACATTCACACCTTTGATTGAATATATAATGGTGTGAAGCTGAGAGTAGTAGACCTAAACCCCGAAGAATATGAGTATGATTTTGATATTCTACCATAGATACACGTAAAATTCGATTTGATATTGAATATCATAGTATGTTTTTTATATTCTATCCAATTTTAGTATGAATATGAATATGAGCAAAATCCAAGTTATTTTGGAAAGGTTAATGAATATGCATTGTCCGACCCTAACTTGACAAGTTGTCATCTCTAATCAAACTTGGGCAGTTGTTGAATTAGTAGCAACTGCTTTCCATCATCAACGACATCATCCACAGCCTCCATCTCCTTTATCTATGTTTGACCAAACTCTGTTTCTTCCTTTTTACTTTCTTATTCATTTTTGTATTCTTTTCCCTGTCGTCATTTTACTATTCTTTTCTCTGGTTGTTATATGCGATGAATCCATCTGCCACATGATTGCTTTTCGGCAGTCTCGCCAAACCAGGTCGCCATTGTTGTATATAAAGCCTACTATCCCCACCCATAGACCTTCATCTCCACCATCGATTTGATTACCCACTCACCCATCCTACCCTACGGCAATGGAAATGGAGGATTGCAGTAGCATTACCGATGAAGTCGATGCGCTGCAGGTGGAAGAAACCAGAGCTGGTGAAGAAGGCGATCAACCAGAAGCAGCATCCGAGGTCGCCGTAGTTACAAGACCAAGGTCCGATGCTGATACTGCTAACAACAATGGCTACTTTGGGAGGCATCGGATGGCCGCCGCCCTCTCCGCTCTTCAGCTCCAAATCCACTCCACCCAGGTGCTCTTCTTAGTTCTTCGCCCCCTCTGCCTTCGTCAACTCTTGAACAATCAGTTTCGGAAACTAGCTATCTCCCATTTCGCAGCAGGTTTTCCTAGTCTAGATAAGGATGGTTGATCTGGTGTTGATCTGGTAAACAGTGTTATATGTGTCGATTGAACGATTATAAACGCCGAGTTGGCTATCCAACAACGTCAGCATGTGCAGACGTCGGTTTTCGTCTACACCAGCACCATGGCAGAACTGCTTACCCTGTAATCTACATGCATATATCGTTAAAAAAGTGTTGATCTTTGTCGTCGTCTTGGTATAGGAGGAGCTGGATCAGCTGGAAAGCGTCGGCGGAGCCTCTGCGGTCTGCACAGAGTAAGCACTGTTCTTTGCATTTTTCTTTGCCTAATGCCTATGTATGTTGTTTAATGTTTGCCAATCTCGTTTCTCTCACGATCTGTTCTTTTATGGTTTTCTGGTAATGGTGAAGAATTGTGGCAAGTGTGGAATCCATCCCCGACCCCCTCCTCCCATCGTATGAATTCGCGCCTTAAACCCCATATACACACACTCAGCTGATTTGGTAATTACAGAGTTCTTTCCACATATTGTTGCAGGACCACAGGCCCTACGAGCGAGAGCTGGGATCGCTGGTTTCGCGGAGCTCACCACCACAACTCGCGGCTCAGATGGATCTAACGACTCGCCTTCCCATGCCACGACCCCTTCTCGCTGCATTTTGTTGTCTTCTTAATTTCGTCGCAGCTGCTGTAACCTGTCAACTTAGCAACAGAAGACAATCCAGGAACACGCATCTGATTTTCTTCATTCAACTATCCCCATGTCAGAGAACTAGTAAACTCCATCTACAGCTACATAAATGCTACACAAACCGACTCCCCCCAAAGAACAGAAATGTGGGGAATAAAACAAGAGCGAATATAGATCGATACACACTACTACGATGTTTCCGCAAACTCTACAATTTTTTTGTAACAGGACCAAGCAAGCCTCCTCAGAATTCACCAACTGAAAAAACTGTCCCACTTTCCGCTGCCATGTAAGAACAGAGAAATCAGTTAATTACACAGTTAAGAATCCTAGGCAAGCAAATAAGTAAATATGCAAGCAGTTAATTATCCTGCGCAGCCTGATAAGTATACAGAATCTACATAGCTGACTGTGAATCAAGATTCGGAGTCTATGCAAGCAAATATAACGGGATAAAAGAGAAAAATGCAAGGAAATTGAAAAGCAGTTCTCACCTCCGACATCCCGACTCAAGATTCAGGTGACTGACTCCGTTCGGTACAAAATTAGATATCCACAAACAGTTGGTGCAGCAGAGACTAAGTTTCATTCGACATACACACTACTACACTACTTGCGATGGAATACTTGATGTCAAAAGTGTGCCCCGGAAACCTCCCTCGCCATGGTCCATTTCCATTTTCCCATCGACAAGCTCATCTGTGGACAGTGAGAGGAACCTTTGATCAGAACTCTCATTCACCACTCAGTTCGAGAAAAATAATGCACTAGACTGACTATTAGACAGCAACACAGTTTCGGCAAATGAGTATTTAGAAGTGCTGCTTCAGGTACACCAAAATCAGACTGATTGGCCATAGTACTTTAGATGCTTGTCAAGTTTCTCATCAAGGAGTCTCATTCCATATATTGAACAGCATACAAGTAGCCACTTGATTGCATAGTAAGATGGTATAATACGAATTATAAGAGCATTAATCTCATAAGACGGTCACATTTCCTTAATACATGGTTAAAGCAAGACATAAACAGAGAGCGTTACCAGCAATGTCTCTATGCTCGTGAATTTCCGAGTCTTGCACCCAAAGCCGATCTCCAGGAAATATGTTTAGGTCAGCTAAAGTAGCGGTCTCTTGATCGATAATCTTGGAGCCTTTATGAAGAATTTGATTCTCCTTGACTACCTGCATATATTCAATAAACCATGTGATGCATGAGGATGCAAAGAATTATATGACCACCAGACTGTGCCGTCTGTTTAACTTTAATCAACAATCTTCTATTAGCCCCCTTTTTCGTCACGAGATGTTATATGCTACAGCTATGGCTATCGTTCAGTGATATATGTAACCTACTCCCAAAATTAAACAATTCTGGAGAAACTATCATCTCTTTCAGTTTTGCTATGCAGACAAACACAGATCATACTTTCAAGCGTACACAATCAACATCTGCTCGTATAGGATCATTCAGAATATAGTATTTCCAATTCAAAGATGAAAGAGGCGCTTTCTGTTTCTAGATCACCCATGATGGATCAATTACCACGAGCATCCAGGCAAGTAGGCAACCAACCCCTACTTCTAATACTATTCTCAACCACATTATTCAGTAACTTACCACATAAACAAGAAACTCTATAACTCAGCTACATCAAAGATCTATTATCATCCTCAAAGCAGAAATGACATGAATGACGGGTGGATGAAAACATACAACCTACCTTGGTTTTCAAACTTGAGCAAACAACAATCGTGGGGGGAAATGTCAAAAAGGCGGAAAAAAATAAGAATCGGATGGAAATATCCACTTTTCTTACCCCAAGTGACTCCCATATCATCATTTTCAACTGGTACACTGACGTGGTACCAGAAACTTTGAAATTCACAGTGTTCCCATTGCTTCCCTTTCTAGTGCGCTTTGATGCCCTTCGATCTGGCTCAAAAGGGCCATCAGATGCCTCCAGAATTGACTTTGGAGCTTCCTTCCCACGTACAAGAGACACATATATCTCCCCGTCACAATAGTTCAGTTTCTTCATCAACTCGCAACTTTCTTTTTCACCTATGCAGACCTCGCAAATCTAGTAGAAGAAGCAAAATTGGACATTTTTCACAAACCATTCAGCCCAATGGTTAAAGAAATCAGAAAGACCGAATACGCAACTTTTCACTTACTTCGGGAAAAGTCTTGATGACTGGCGGTTTAGTCTCGGTACCATTATCAGCTTCATCTTGTGCATTCAAATGCTCATCAGTTATCGGTATATTATCGCTGCTTCCAGGCACATTGCATTCTGCAGAATTATTTCCCTCAAATACTGCAGATATGCCCTTGTCCATGTCACACCCCCACTCTTCACAAAAGGTGAACCAATCATTCTCAGGAATTATTGTCAACCGATCTGTCTAGAACCAGAGGAAGGAGAATGAGGAGGAAAAAGACATAACATTAGAACGTGCAATAAGTTTCCTTTAGTCATTGTATTATCCACTATTGCATCTGATATAATAGATCCTGAACACTGAACTGATAATAGATTGTGAATTTGTAAGCTATTAAATCAGTATCAATGCTGCTATAAGAAATGTGACATGATTAAGGTGGCAATCATGAACAAGACAATGGAATAAATACAATCAATCCACTAACTGCTACATCTGCATTGTAAGAAGTCGTAGATTGTGAGCAAATACATGCTCACTTAAAAATGCTGATAATGCTTACATTTGAGCACCTCTGAAACAGAACGCCACGTTTATATACCAGGGCTGGAGGCCTCTCCAAAAGTCGAGAATGCTGTAATAAAATTGAAAAACAAAGGTTAATTTAACAAATGGATGAGAATTAAAATACACATGAGTTGCAATATCCGTGTGTATATATGCATAGACATCAATGTCTACAATATTCAAGCATGTTCAGTTGGAGCCAGTTCTTATGCTCGCGGGTATTTCTTGTCAATGAACTTGGGAAGCACCATATATTATACATGAGCAAAGCAAGAACACTGGAAGAAGCAATGCTCTTAGTAAACACAGAGAAGGAACCTACATTAACTTTCAATTCCTTTTTTACCACAAGCTGTCGACCAATGATTAATAATACACGGACAACGTTAAAGAAGCACAAGAGAAGAAATCGGAAATCACCTTTTCACACTTCAGTGAGTCAATCACAACATCAAGAGTTTCAGGCTCCATGGATGAAGAACTACTCTTTCCACTTGCAGTTACGTAATTTTTCCAAGTCATTAACCACGAAGAAGGCACCAAATAATATCTGCTGCCTAAAGAAAGGGGAATATTTTTTGCAGTTACCAACTTCTCGTGATTTTGCTTCTGTTTATGTTTCACAGCTCTGCATAACAGACATGATGGTCAGAAAAATTAAAAATACCTATAACCAGCTCCAGAGAAGTAATACAAAAGTAAAGCTACCTAAGTGAATCCTCCAGACATGCAACTTCAGAAAGCTCATTGCTACAATGAGGACATTGATCAGAATCGGATAGGAAAGGAATACAACCGACGGGATCATCAGGTTTCACATGCAAGGCATCTTCACAAAAGAAGTCCCATAAACTCCCAGGTACCAGCAAACGTTTGGCACCAGGAGACTGCTCAGGTAGTAGGTGGCCATGAGGACACCTGATTGAAACAGTTGGTCCTGCATCAGCTTCACTTGGAGCATCGAGATTCTTCCTTCTTATCCACTGCTGGAGCCTACAAGTAACATTCAATCAGACTTCATCTCATCTGGAAAATGCAACACACCAGAAATGAACAATAAAGGATTATCACAACATTGCTAGCTCCAGCCTCCAAGTTCACGCAAACAGGTGGAATGCATGTACCATATATAAAGGAACAGTGGAAGATCACAAAACCTAACCCCCAATAAGAAAAGGAATTTCATACCATGTCTTTGATACATAATACTCCCCGTCATCCACAGTCTTCCCAGCAAGTACATTGGTTGCTAACTCCCTCATTAATGTTCTCCTATCACGATAGCTATCCGCAGAAACCAAAGTTTTCGCACCATCAAAAAGGCATGCAGTGCAGTAGTCCTCATTTGTAAGTGTTGGGCCACCACCATACTGTAATTTACAAAAAATAGGCAGATTCTCAGTGATGCAATACATTGAACATGAGTAGGAGCAACAGACACAAATGCAACAGTAAAAATATGAGTTAATAATGAATAGACGGAGAGGATACAGGGACAGTGAAGGAGAGTTCTAAAACATGAAAGAAATGCCCTTTGGCTTCCGCAGTTTGATTTCTTAGAAAGGGCTTACACGACAGCGTCCAGAATCCTTGTGTCTATGTAAGCTCAACATATCAATAACGATATTATATCATTGAACTTATTCTCTGGTTATGTCTATTTTATTGTTTCTTGTATCAAGTGAACAAAGCTGTGGCTACACCATTAAAACTTTTCCCTTCTTTCCAAATTCACAATTTCCCAGAACTGAGCAGTACAATGTTTACCTTGGATAACAACTTGGTCCAAGCTTCAGCTGACAGCCGTTTCATTGAGCCGGCCTTTGAAACAGGGACCTTTCCATGTGAGCATTGGATGGATGTGTTATCCAAGACACTGCAGAACATGGAATAAACTTCCTTAGGAACCAGTACAGACAGCATAAAGTAGAAACAGGCAAAAATCACAAACAATCCAACCAAACCCTTCATTCGAGCATAAGAAGTGGAAGCTTACAACCAGCACAGCAAACACTAAACATATTTAAGTGCACGGACTAATAGCAGTAATGTGGGAAACACAGGAACCATAGCAGAAAGCTTTTTCCTTACGGTGCAGTGAAGTCATCAGCCCACCGGCGAAGCCAGTCAGTAGAAATCCAACAAAAAGGTTGTCCAGATGTCTGAACAGGAGCTTCCGAAAGAATTGATCTCACTTCCTGTCGCCGTTCAGTAACATGAAGCATCTCAGTATCCTTTCTTTCTTTATACCTCCGGCAAGCATCCAGATATGATGCATTTTGCTCCTTGATACCTTCACAAAGATGAGATGGCAAAAAGAACTCATCGTGTGAAGAGTTCCCTTGACCATCTAACTCCATACTACTGGCAACTCTGACTGCACGTGTTTTATCACCATGACTACGAGCGGACCTAAGATTATACATCAGCATATATGCATCACTTGATGAAAATGTCTCAACACCACTTGTAGAATTAGATTCTGAAGCTCGGGGCAAATGAACGTCAGAGTGATTTCCATTTTGAATCGGATCAGATCCTCCTTCACTAGCTTTATGAGGCAATACATCAGTCCGGGGGATTTTAGCAGTGGAGCTTGAAGAGCTTTCTCCAAAGGGGTGATGACCCAAATTAGAGACATGTTCATCATCGAACTCCCACCACTGCCCAGTATTTGCATCCTTAATATGAGCAATGTAATGACCACTGTTCACAGCAGCCCCTTTGTGGATCAACACAGCCGATAAGTCATAAATCCAATCCTGTTGAGAAGCCTCAGAAAGCCTCCGTCCCATATCAAGTTCTTCAGGAAAACAAAATGCAGATGTGATTTTCTTCTTTGTAGTAGTCTACTGACAGGAAACCAACAGAGAGAGAGAATGCTCAAATGTATTATACACCGGAAGCTCCTTTCACATAACAAATCCTAGTTAATTTCATTCATGTCATACCAAATTCATTCATAAAGCTCCCAATCAGAAAATTAATAAGCTATAATTTGAGTAGTCTAGTTAAATTTGTTCCACCTAGGCAAGGTGACACAGAAACAGAAGAGAACAAAATACTTACAAGCCCAATCCCACTAACTAATATACAACATCTAAAAACCATATCAAGGAAAGCTAGCATTTTGTCACAACAACTAGAGAAAAAGAGGATTGTAAGTCCTACTGTGACCCCATTTCTTAGAGTTCACATGGAAGCCTGTTTAGCTAGCAATGCATATCCAGCTAACTTGGAATTCCTGCCCATCGAAGAACTCATGCTCTCTAATGGTGCTAAAAGCAAACAAAGAACTTAGGGGAGCAAATTAATTTCATTATGTCAATTGTTTTCTTCTAATGTTTCTGACATAAAATCCCACTCAACCCTTGAGAGATACATAAATTATAATGGACGAAGTGAAGGTGGTCAGTTGATGGACGTCATCGTAGAGATAACAACCAGATGCAAGATTACAAATCATATAAGAACATTGTCAATTACCTTTGGAAGGAAGATACAGCGCTTAAGCTGAAAGTTCAAGACAACAGGTAGTGTTCTCAGCTTGATGCTACGTGTAGCATCCACTCTTGTTTTACATGAATCACAGTAATATTGGTTGTCACCATCAAGCTGCTCCACACTGAGGTAATCATCCAAACTCTCATCCAAGCTTTTCATGCCTTTCACATTCAACTCGAGCTCATAGAAATCTTCCATTTTGGAAGAAGCTTCAGAATCTTGACCACATTTTGAGCATCTACAGACAGCTCAAATATCAAAGCATCAGACACAAACCAACAGTGCATTAAAGGAAAATCATCAATGACATGAATAACTGCACTCGGAGATACTTCGAATGTCCCCTTGCTACAGGAAGATAAAACTGGAGGGAGCAAATGAAAATGTGGAAGGGGACAGGATTTTTTTTTTTTTTTGCCCAAGAAATGTCCAGAGAAACCAACATTAGAAAAGAAATAACACCCAACCCCCTTACACCCTCCAAAACAAAAGCCTACACTGACCAGGCTACAATTGACTCTATCTTGAAAGAAAGAAATCGAAATTTGGTGGAAGGGGGACAGTTGGTGGAGACCCAGATGTTAAGGTGAGGCTAAATAATGGATAGCTTGCTCATGGGTATAATATTGGTAACAAGTGCATATGGAAATCAAGGGAACAGCATGAAGGGAAAGGATCAGTCCATTTTTTAAACATATTGAACCAAGAGCTAGAATAGCTGCAAACTTCTGCAAGGAATAACTAACTAATACAAATACTTCTGAGATACACAGAAACCTAAGGCACAAGATAAGGAAATCTGTTATACACCATCCCCTGACAACAGTCTAACCTCTTTGTGCAAGATATTTGCAGCTCTACGTATTTAGAAAGCTTCAGACCTACTAACTATAAAAAAATATTAAAAAGAAGGAATAGAATACAGGCTTCCATTTTTCAAATATATGATGTTAAATATGAAGTGAATAGCGGATGTAGGCACCGTCATCCTGCTTCGGAACTTGAATGAGCCTTACTAATATATGTTGACTGAGGTTCATATCAACATTAAGAATAAGTGTAACCAACTGCTGCATTCAGTTGTTCCTCTAGAATATTACAATGCATGGATAGAAGCCAGAACAAGATAACGATCAGATGGGCAGCCCCACAAACCACCTAAGAAAAGGACATAAAAACAATCAACACAGATAGAAAGCTCTTACTTTGTTACATGAGACACGCTTCCACGGAAAAGATCCTGTACGACTGATTTTGCCTTGTAGACACTAGAATGGCTCAGACAACGCTCAAGCAAGGAAAGAAGTAAGGTAAGGAACTCGTGGCTATCCTGCTGCACTCCATTATCCAACTCCAGTGTCTTTACAAATGGAGCAGAATCAATGAAAGCCATTTTACTGGCATGCAAAAGTGCAAAAAGCCGAGCAAGCTGATCCAGTACAGGTTGTTGTTTCAAGACCTCTGGTTCCACCGAGAAAAGGCCTTCTCTAAAAGCAGTATTCATATAAAGACATTGAAGTATGCTGTTGGCGTAGCATGTTGCTCCCAAGTTTGTGAGTCCAGCAGGAGAGTCATCAATACGGAGATCAGTCGATGGATCTGGTCCTAGTGCTTGAACAATATCTGTCGTCTTCTGCCACAACCCAGACTTCCGGCTTCCATTTTGAGTTGGAATCAACCCACAAAAACAGTTGGGATTATCCTTGGTGTTCACCCTGCAGCCTTGGCAAACAGGCTTCGAGATCATATAGAGCTGATTTACATCCTCAGCGGCCACTTCCCCGGTAGCATGAATTTTCCTACGCAAGCCACACAGGTTACCTTAAACACACAAAGGGACGCGGGAACAGTAACATTCAGCATTTCTAACCATCCCATCGAAGCACGGGTGTATGTACCTCAATATCTGAGAAGTGACATTAACATCATCACTAGGCCTATGCCTTTTATTTTTGCTGCGTGTAGTTGGGCGGCTCATTCTACTATTATCGACCCAGCCTGAAAACAGGACGCATCATAGACCAAACCCAGCTTAGTTCCAAAATCAAGGAGAAATCCACCACATAGAGCAGAGAAACTCTTAGCATTGGTGTGAAAACAATGAAACTGACATATTCTAGGATGAGCACAGAAACATAAGAGCACTTAAGAAGTCGTTAAGGAGACAGAGACAACAACAACACATGAGCAATCCGAATTGGCATTTCGATCACTCGATCTTTCACAAAACGCATTGTCCCATTGTTTCACCAGTTCTAAACAACTTCAATCCAATCAGAGAAGTTAGACAATTTGTACTTTCCGCTGATTGAACAAACAACTCAAGGGCACGGACTCGGGAATATATATATATATCAGACATTAATCTCGAGGAAGAGTTCACCAGCGATTAAAAAGACAATCCTCCGAATCACACAGTCCCGCACTAGTAAAACAGCAGCAAGAAAATTGCGGCAATTCGAAACCAAATAAGAACAACTGAGAGAAGGAAAAATGATACCAAAAGAAAGACCGCCATACCTGAATCAGAAAGAGAGAGGAGAAGAGTTCGGCAGGACGGGAGAGAGAGAGAGAAGCTAGACCTAATTAAACAGTAGTATTGTGCTCGGATTCCGTTAGATTGTTGAAGTTGGGTTTGATCGAAGGAAACGGGCAGGCAGATTCCAACAGATATCGTGGAGCGGGAGGAGCTAGCTTGCCCTCGTATATGGATGTATTTGGTTTGTCTGTTTGTTTCTCGGGATTTATGGGGGGAGAGAAAGGAGAGGAAAACGAGAGAGAAAAGGCGTAGTCGTACGGTGTATACAGGAGGAGAAGGGAGGGAAAACGGAGCGGAGAGGCGGGCCGGAGACGGATGGAAGGAAATGGAGGGAGTTGGAAGGGGGAAAAAAAAGAGGGAGAGCGAGAGCGTCACCCCGACGCCTTTTTTGCGTTTGCCTTTTTTCCCGTGATTTTTATTAATTATTTTTCCTTGTTTGAGTTGGGGAGAAATTTGAGTTGGGGTGAAAAACTTTTTGGGATTATTCACCCAGAAAAGAATATAAAATAATTCAAACGGTAAATTTTTTATTAATTATTTTGGACGGAACGAATGAATGAAGGAAGGCTGAGGAGTGTTGAGGATGAGGTGGCGGTGTTCTGTTCTACTTACAACTGTTCACTGTCTCGTGATTTGTTGGCTTTCCTCCTCACCGTCCACGTGTTACTTGCTGTGGTTTCTTTGATTCTTTCCAGTCTCTACTTTTTACCCTTTACAAGTTTACATATTTTTTTGGCAAAATACAGCTGTATATCCATAACTATCACGTTTGTGACAAATATATCCACAACTATCGAAATACACGAAATATCCAAAAATCAGAAGGTTGTGTGACAAATCTATCCACTTCCGTCTGAAACTATAACGGTGTTAGTGACGTCGTTAATTATTGCGACGGAATGCTGACTAGGATCCAAATCACCGTCCACGTCATCAACAAATCAGCATAATATTAGAGTTAAATGACACGTTAGAAATTAATTAATAAAAAATTTAAAATTAAATTTTTTTCTGCGATCAACCCCATATTTCCGGCCACACTATCCCGACGCCGAGCTTCGTTACCAAGCGGCCAAATCCCCAAGACGAGCTTTGTTTCCTCCTCTAACTTCCTCTCACGCTCCCATCGCCCACATCGATCTTGGTCTTTTGCTTTCTCAATCGACGATCTGGGCTTGCCCACTTGCTCAATCGACTTTCTGTTTCTTTCTCAGACGGAAACCAATCCCACCGCCGATGTGAAAACCCCCAAATCAAAGCAAGCAGAGGATTGGAAAACCCCCAAATCGCATCAAGCAAAGGATGAGAAAACCCCCCCACATCGACCACGGATGGAAGAAGACTTGGCGGCGTCCTCACTCAGCCGGCTTGATTCCCAGTGAACTCGCCGAGATGCCCAACCTCGACGCCCTCCCAGAGTCCTTCGGCGGCTGCTTGAAAGGAAAATTCCTGTCTCAATATCTCTCCTAGCGACGTCAAGCTCCTCAACGACCGGTTCACCACTAAATATGGGGATAGTGAAGATCGAATGAGGGCAAGGACAGTCGCTGCGGCGGATTCAACTTCGCCACAGAAACCCAAATTCGACCTCTGAGCCTAAGAGTTTGATTTGAACGAATCAGCATTGAGCTTCAGCCTCCAACTACGATTCAACCTCCGAGCTTCAGTCAGAAACCCAGATTCGAGCTCCAAGTCTCCAAGTTTGATTCGAATGGAATTGTTTCCAACTTCGATTGACCTATGAGCTTCAACCAAAAAAACCCAGATTCAATAGAGGCGTTTGTGTTGATACTTGGAGGCGAATGCGTACGTGAACGTCATGGCGAAAGGGGTGGGATAAGTGAGATGCGCCACCGAAAATCCAACTTCTTCTGCATCATCGGACACAGCGAGGGCAATAGAGAGAGATCGAAGATGGGGTTTTGAGGAAGAAAAGGAAAGAGGTGGGAAGACGATGGGAAGAGGAAAAGAAGGATTTTATCTTTTTTTTTTTATTTTTTTTCATTATCCACGTGTAATGGTGGGACCAAATATCGCCAACTCAGCCCATTCCGTGAATCCAGTCAGACTGTTAATTAACGTCGTTAGAGCATTAAACGAAATTGGATATTTCGTGTATTTCGATAGTTGTGGATATATTTGTCACAAACGTGATAGTTGTGGATATACAGCTGTATTTTGCCTATTTTTTTTTTCCCGTTGAATTACTCATTAGTCATTACCTTTGGCTTTGCTATAGTGAATTTTTATTCTCATACGGCGGTTTGGTTAAATTGATGAATTTTTATTAATATATGTAGAATAAAAAATATATATATAAATATATATATAAGAAGATTGGTGTATTGTAACTTACTTTGTTTAATTTTTTGTAATAGTTATTGTAGTATTTAAATAAGTAATTTTCATTTTTGGGTGAAATGTAACTTTTACCTTTCGTTTTTAATATAAAAAACAACACACATAAAAAGCTAAATACAAAGTTAGAAGAAAGCAAAAACTCAACAATCACAAAGAAGCAATCTCACAAAAAAAAAATTGAGATTTCACTATCATTCATTTTGAGTAATAATTTTTGTCACATTAACCTTAAGCAAACAATACATGTATTATTTATAAATTTTTACCTTTGGCTTTGCCGTAGTGAATTTTTATTCTAAGCGGTCGTTTGGCTATGGGAATTTAACGTGGGAATTGGCCCTCATTCCCAGTAATTTGCTAGAAACCCCATGTTTGGCGGCGAAAAAAAATGTGAAAATTGGCCCGTGGGAATTGGCCCAATTACAAGAGACGTCGGAATGAGAATTAAGGGGTGGTTTTGGTTTCGGTTTCGGTGATAGTTAAATTGATGCATTGTTAATTTGTTATCAATGCATGTATAATAATATACATATAAATAAGGTGTATTGTAGTTTACATTGTTTGGTTTGTATGATAGTTATTATAGTAATCAAATAAGTCAGATTACATTTTGGGTGAAATGTCACTTTTACCCTTCATTTTTAATATAAAAAAGTAATAGCTAGGGACATAGTTGGAAGAAAGAAAAAACTCAACAATCTCACAAAAAACTTGAGATTTAACTATCACTCATTTTGAGTGATAGTTTGTGTCATATCAAGTAAACAATTCATGTATTATTTGTGCGGAAAATTCAAAAAATAATACATTCTGAACAATACATGCATTATAACTATTCCAACCAAACTATACCAAACCAAACAAATTAGAAAGAATGAGGGACAAAGCTAATTTTAGGAAAATCTTATAAAGAAAGCATAACATGGTTAAGGGTAGGTAGTATAGCTTTTGTTATGTATTTGTGTGATTGGAAGTTGTGATTCTTCAAATTGATGTATTTGGATAATTAGTGTATTATCATTTGATGGATTGAATCAATTGATGTATTAGGTAAATATCTTGTTTGGAGGTTTAGATTGTGTTTTTGTTCCAAAGGTAAAAAAGTTAGTATTGACTATTGAGTGATTGTGAAGAATCTCAACAAAAAATAGAGATTGTAAATCTCTCAATATTGAGTGATTGTGGTGGGGCCTCTAAAAAGTAAATGCATGTATTCTAGTTATATATAAACAAAACAAAAAACGACTTAATCTCACAAATACATGAATTAGATCAATACATCATTTGAAATCACAACTTTCAAACGATCCCTAAGTTAGGTTTAGGGTAGGATGTATAATTTTTGGGCTAAATTGCAAGTTTGGTCACTTGAATTACTAATAAATTTTACGTTAGCCACTAAAATTGCTTTATTCCATCCGTAGTCACTTAGATTAGGTTAACAGTTCAAGTTTGGTCACTGGCCGTTAGTCTCCGTTAACTTTTGCTGATGTGGCGGTCAACTCTTGTAGTTGATCGTTAAATGAGTGACGTGGCAATTAAATGGCGACCGTACCCTGCTATGGGTGGCTTTCCTAGGTGAAACCCGGGATAAAACCTCGGTGTGGACGGTGGATAGTGTTCATTGAAATGAGTCATATACTTAATTAATGCTCCAGACACAATAGCCTAGATCGAGGTGACTGGAACATGGGTTTAGGGGAGGTGTACTCGGAGGCGTGTGGATAACGACGAAGGCCCACGGAAAAGAGCTCACTCGCCACATTCGACGACCCTAGATATCTATATATGCATAGTGACCCTAAGCTAGGGGGAGGATTAGTCCCCGAAGTACCTGTTTTTAGCTTTGATCAATCCTTATACTAGAGTTTCCTCATATCCTCCACTCATAACCTCAAAAATCGATTAACTAATTAGCAACTTGGTGGGAAGTAGGCCAGGGTACCGGGACTCGGGTAGAATACAATCTTGATTACCACTATACGGCAACGCCGTTCTAGGTTAAACTTGGCTTGGGATGGGGTAGTTGTGGATACGTGCAAACCTCTGACACAAACCTGCATGAATTGAAGTGATCGTATTTTTATCCCTATAAATTTGTAGATTCAATAGATCATGATTAACTTGTTCTTTCTGTACAAAAAGTTTCAAAATCGACTTAAAAACGAAGGATATACCATATGGTATGGAAGGTGGTAACTAACGAGTGGTATGAAAAAAAATCTAGAAATATATTGAAAATGAATCTCATTTTGTAGATCACAATGAATTAAGGTTATAAATATAATTTTTTAATGATGCATAACTCTTAGTTATGCACCTTATCTTGAGCCGATTTTACACCCGATACTTTCCATTTTTTTTCTTAAGATCAAAACCACCTCAAACAACAACAAAAAAAAAATGATCATATTTAGATAATTGAAAAGCCATCAAAATCCGTTGGTTAGTTAAATTGCAAACAAAATTGCATAATAACAATAAGTAACAATAGTTTGCGTGTTATTGTAGGCCTCTCTCTCCCTTCGTTCTCCCCCCTCAAATTTTCTGCCCTTTTGGTCCCTTCTTCCATCGTTCTCCCTCTTTTCTCCCTTAGTTGGATTACCCTTTTCCTTCTTCCTGCGCAGGCTCTTCTCCACAACCCTTCTCTCTGATGGTAGACGATCACCATCGTCATCATAACTCGGAGAGTATTACTATCATTGGTTCCTCGACGACGACGACGTCCGATGTTGACGGCAAAAACCCTAATAACAAGAACTCGACGTCATCATCCTCCTCCTCCTCCTCGCCAAGCGAGAAGACCCGCAGGCGTTCTAAAGCCAAGGATTTTTGGAGGGTTCATCGCACTTTGATTGCGAAATGGTGTCACGCTGCTCGGAATATTAATACCTCCTCTTCGACACCAACTTCTCCGTTTTCGTCGCCATCGCCGCCGCCCGAGCGGCCGCCGGGGTCTTCGTCGCCGTCGACGTCGTCTTCTTGTTGTTCTGATGGTAATAAGGTTGGTTTGGGAGAAGGTGATGATCAGCCGGCGCCTGGTTTAGCGCCCAGAGTTGAATCCCAAAGGGTACGTTCCTAGCTAGGGTTCCAATATTATTATATATCTTTCCCTCTTTATGCATGCTTTTTCTTGGACATGTTCATGTGGGTTCGGGTTTACTCGTTTTAATCGCTTTACCCGATACATTTTGATTTTGAAAATACTAAATGTAGAACCCTGTGATTTGTTTATGATTGGAATGGATCAGCGAGTAAAAAAATGCAACTACCACTAGAGAAATTTATATAACTAATTAAAATGTCAAGCAAATTCAACTAAAGCGGAAAAACATCAAAATGCATCGAAGTTATGTTGTTGTTTTGAATCTTGATGTAGTGCAATTTGTTTCTGACATATTTCTGATATTTTTTCATAAACAACTTACCAAAATAAGCTAGAGACGCTTATCCGGTATAAGCTAACTCATACATAATAGATTATTCTTCTAAAATTAATATATATTCAATACATCCACTAAGAAGAAGAAAAAATATATTCAAGTTCTCTCACAAATTGACATAAATATGTTTTGGATACGAAAACTTAATAAAAATAGTTGTAAGTTGTAACATGGGTTGATCGAGTCGCGGTATCCACGAGTTGCATATATAACTCAAAATGCACACTTAACCCTAAGACATATGGGTTCCGCAAAACAAAGTTCTCACCTAACTTTTTAATCTTAATTTTAACGATAAATACAGGTAGGTTAGATCGGTTTGAACAAATGGACCGGGTTACTAATTAGTATTCTTAGCATGCACGATAAGATTGATAGTTAAAGAGTTTCAAGGAACTTAATAGTCCGGTTTTGTTCCTTTCCCCGCAGGCTGAAGAAGAAGAAGCAGCAGTAGAGAAGAACAATACAATGAATGGAATCCACAGCTTCAGATACACCGCCACCGCAGCAGATCCCACCACCACCACCACAACTCCCAAAGGCGTATTCAAGCAAAAAACCAAAGAAGCAGATTTCCTCCGAACCCTAACAAACCCTCTCTCCAGAATCGCCAGCAAAAGGAGCCCTTCCCCTAAATCCTCCTCCAAAATCGGCAGCCGGCGTAGCGGCTCCCCTCTATCCTTCGTCCACCGATGCATCACCGGCCGGAAACCCACCACCACCACCACCACCACTCCTCCTCCCCCTTCCACCTCCGACGTCCACCACGACCGCAGCTCCTCCCCTGCCTCCGCCGCCCCTCCTCCTCCGTCCACGGCGCCAGCCTCGCTGGCGAGAGATGCCAGCGTGAGAAGTAGTGGTAGTAGTAATCTTGGTGGGTTCTCGAGGAACCCGAGCCAGAGAAGCACGACGCCGATCATGTTCTCCAACTCCACCGGACGGAAGGTGAAGCCCCCGCCGGTGCAGCAGAACTTGGAGTGCACGCTCGAGGAGCTGTTCTACGGTTGCACTAAGACTGTCAAGGTCACCAGAGACGTCCTCACCGACCGAGGGTACGTATTCATTTATCCTCCACTACGTTAAAGTTTTTTTTTTTTTTTTGGGAACAAAGGTTGGTGCGATCTAAGGAGTCACAACACGTATAATTCACGCAGTTTTGTGTTTATTCATGCGATTTTGTGCCTGTTCACGTCATTTTGGTGTCTATTCACAGTTATTTACGGAAACTATTACAGTTATTCACGTAATCTGGTGTTTATTCATGCATTTTGTTATTTGTTCACGTGGTTGCAAAATATATTTTAAAATATATCGAAACGGATTTCATTGTGCATATTATGATCAACGCAACTCATTACTACAGAAAACAAAAAAAAAAAATCCAACTTTCATTCCATAAAATATGGCTAATACAAATTATTAGGAGAAAGAAAAGGGAAGAAAATGTTTGGTATTCCATTTGCGAGAATAACCATCACCCTTAAATGATGTGAATAATCATCGAATTACGTAAAAAATCACCGAATGACGTGAAGGAACCTCACAATACGTGAATTAATAGGGATTGAAATACCGTACCTGAAAAGTCAGCACAACAAGGTATCTTAAGCTGAAACCGTGGTTCAACCATTGCATACCACTAATTACCACCTATCGGTTTTGCTTTCGATAAAATGTTTATCTGATCGAACCGCTGGTGCGATATGGTTTTTCAATCCTTTTGGGTGTTGTGACTCTTTAGCTCCCCACCAAACCTTTTTCCCCTTTTCAAGCAAATCAAACGTGGCTTTATAGTAGAGGAAATCAATATTATCACCCATGCATGCAGGCAAATAGTTCAGGAAGACGAGACGCTCTCCATCCAAGTGAAGCCCGGATGGAGGCGAGGCACCACGATCACATTCGAAGGCACCACCACCGCCACCACCGCGGGGACCACCGAGCCGCCGCCGCCGCCGCCGCGTCGTCGTCCCGTCGGATCCGAGCCCGCCGACGTCACGTTCGTGATCGTGGAGAAGCGTCACCCTCTGTTCCGGCGGGTGGGCGACGACCTGGAGATCGCGATCGGGATCCCGCTGGTGCAGGCGCTGACGGGGTGCGACATCTCCATCCCTCTCCTCGGCGACTCCGGGGAGGTGATGAATCTGACGATCGATGACGTCATCTACCCGGGGTACGAAAAGGTCATCGACGGGCAAGGGATGCCGAGGTTCAAAGAGGAAGGGACGACGAGAGGGTTGCTGAGGGTGTTGTTTCTGGTTGAGTTTCCGGCGGAGTTGACGGAGGAGCAGAAGGCGGAGATTGTTAGCATTTTAGAGGAGGAGGAGGGTGAGTGAGTGAAGAGATAGTTTCGGGTAATGTAATGTGGATTCGTTTTGTTTCTTGATGTGTACATGTAGAGATTTTTTAATGAGTATGGTAATTCGAATATTATGAATAATGGGTACATGATTTTTTTATTATTATTTAATCCGAACTCATTCGATTATATACATATATATGTGTACTTTATTTAGAAATAGTCTTTATTTTTTTTTCCCCACTGTCTATATTACTGGTATGTAATATCAACATACCGCATCAGTTGTTAACATGTTTTCTTCAAGTTATGAAAGAATTACTATCGCATGGATATCTAAAACTCAATTGGGTATGAGTATAATTTTGATTTTGCACCCCAATTCTTATATGTGTATAGATATGCATAAAACTCGAATTACTTCTCATGGGATAATTGATAGACGCTATCTGTCTCTGATTCATTGCCCATCGCTAGTTGCAGTATCTTCTCACAGTTCATCATCAGAAAAGAAACAGAGAAACATGGTGATAATTTGATATCCATGTCTGTCTAACCACCCAATCTGGCTTTCTTGAACAACAATTGACAACAGTAGAATTGATTTGAAACGTTTCCCTTTGCATCTTCTCAATCAACAATAAATGTAAGATCACACTGAATCCAAGTCCTTAAGAGAAGTTTCCAAGCATGATGAGGTTTGCAGATATAACTTACATTGATAAAAATAAACTATCCACAATGATCCGATTCAGAATCTTTCAAGGCTTAGACCCACGAAACAGTGCGCGTAGGATTGCAAGGAAACTGCCACCCATCAGAGCTTTCATCATTCTCAGTTTGAAGCCCGTGTATGGTGGATACCTCAAGGCAGCATCGCCTATGAAACTCCGATACAGCACAGCTTTCTTGTGGCTGAAGGCATCAAATGAGAACTTCCCGTGGTACGACCCCATCCCACTCTCGCCAACGCCTCCAAACGGCACAGTATGAACAGCCAGCTGTTCAGAGAGAAAAAAGGAAGGGAACATGATTGTAAGGAAAGCCTGCTCTTATTTTGCATATGCAGATTGAATGATTGATTCATTCCTAAATGGAGTAAGATAGAAAGAGAGAGGGATAAGTACATGAATTGTTGTGTCATTGACGACAATGCCACCAGCAGAGACAGACATTACAAACTTTTCTTTGAGCTTTTTGTTGTTGGTGAATATGTAGGCTGCAAGTGGCTTTGTTCCCGAGTTGATCACATCGAAACTCTCATCGATATTGTTCAACTGTATTGTCAATGAAAAGGAAGATTGCAATAAGAGGGCTGTTATTCGCAAAATGAGGACAAGCAATCGAGGGATAAGATCAGACTTTTTCTTACCATGAGGATGGGAAGCAAGGGGCCGAAAATTTCTTCACTCATGATCAGAGAATCCCTTGGCACATCTAGCAAGATGGTAGGAGCTATTCTTCTGTCGATCACAAACAATGGAAGCATGAAAATCACAAGGAAGAAGATAAGCATTCAAGATGCACCGCATCATAACATACTATCTGACAGTATGTGGAACAAAGAAACTCACAGCTTCTCTTCGTCTTTTTCACCACCGTAGACTATTTTACCAGAAACTTTCTCGTCATCCAGTAGCTTGGATAATCTAGCAAAATGGTTAGAGTTTACAATGCGAGACAAGTCCTTCGACTCCAATTGATTCTTCCCATAAAATCTCTCCAGTTCTGTTTTCAGAGCATCGACCTGCACTTAAGAAACTCGTTTCAGAGGAAGCTAAATATGAACTGAAGGCCTGAAATATTGGAGTACAATAACCGAGAATTACCAGCTTTGGTGCATAATCTTTGGTTGTTAAAATGTAATCAGGGGATATGCATGCTTGTCCATTGTTGCACCCCCACTTGCCAGCAATTAGTCGCCTCATTGCAACCTTCAAGAGGCAAGCAGTTTCACGTCGATACATGATCAATGGAGGAAGAAATGAAGGTGCTGAAAAAGTTAACTGAACAAACATAAGTAGTACCACATCAAAAGACTAGTAGAGAGTTTTTACCTCTAAATTAATGTCTGAATCAACGACCGCTGGACATTTCCCCCCGAGCTCCATGATGACAGGTGTCAAGTGCTTTGCAGCAGCAGCCATCACAATGCGCCCAACCCTACCATTGCCTGCAAATTGAGCAAGGAGTTTCCTTTGAGGTACATGACAGGTTGTGACCAGGAGCTGTGGTTGTCAGTCTGGAATTTGAGGCGCTTGTTTTATTCTAAATGAAATAAGAGCAGCCAGGAAGAATCTAAAACCAGGGCATTTCGACCTATCTAGTGAATCTGACCCCAAGTATATGTATAGCGGATAGCACCCAGCACATAGAAAGCTGTGGTAATAGAATTTACAGCAGAACATTCACCAACGCCCTGAACTGAGTTTGTCAATTTGAAACTGGGTTTAGTTACATGATTTCCTTCTGCCGCTTGTTAGGACTCTTCATGTCAACATACGAGAAATGAAAACTGTGACTTAATGTTTCATATATGTCTTAGTTGATCCTGATTAAAGATAATTGACTGCAGAATTAACTATTTCATGCCTATTCATGAAGTAGTAAATTTACAAACATCAAACACCAAAGAATGAACTCATGGACTTTTTTCCCATGAAACTATAACCCTCGCTTTCTGAGTCATTATGCAATGAACATTGAAGGAACCACTGAGCAGTTATGAGTCAGGGAACATTGGGAAAAAGACCTTAACTAGGTCTGGCACTGAAACTCATCAAGCAAAGATGAAGGACAAACCTGTATACATGATTTTGTCCCATTTTTGCTCTAGTAAAGCTGACGTTTCAGGAACAGCACCCTCAACAACCTTTATGGCAGAAGTATCCAAATACTGAGAAAAAAGTTTTGCAAGCAATGATGACGAGGCAGGAGCTAGTTCCGATGGTTTCAAAACCACCGCATTCCCAGCTGCAATAGCTCCAATCACTGGATCAATGGATAGCACTGCAAAACACATTTCAGCATAGATAACTCAAACTTCTGGTAGACAATAAGAAGATACTGAACCATAGCAAGTAAGAAACTGAACCTACAAAAGGGATAGTTCCAGGCAGAAATTATCAATACAATTCCAAATGGCTCAGACACAATTTCAGCTGATGATGGGAATGTTGTCAGTGAGGTTTTTGCCTGCAGTATGTCAACAAATACGAATATGTGGCGATACTTAGAAACTACAGAATAAAACAGGCTCAAACAATTGATCACTTAAAAATGTTCTACCTTCTCCGGCCTGATCCAGTTCTTTAGTTCCTTGAGTGCCACTTTGCATGCATTCTTTATCATACCTAGCTGCAAAACAGACCCTTAATTAACTTCCCAAAAATATATTTCAGAACTAGTTGTAAACATATCTAAGGAGAAAAACAGGTGCTTAGATAACTAGATACCACCAAATACCCTTCATCAAACATCAACCTGAAATTAAGCATTCTGTTCAAGGATGGAAATGAGCAAACTCATTCCTTCAGCACCTAAAATGCCATCCATTCTACAGAGCATGAGGCAAAGCCATACAACAGCCTTGGTGTTCAAAACTTGTAAATCTCCATCCCTCCAGGGTATGAATTATAGGACAACACAAAACATTCTATTAAGTGGCCTGTTTCTCTTAGCATGTTTGAGCAGATTCAGCTACTATACCCATGCAGACCAACTTACACAAGACTCAAATTTAGTGACTTTAGCTTACCGTACTCCCAACAGAGACTAGTTCATCTATCTCTAGATCAAAGTTACAGGGAATAAGAACATTTTAGCCAATTGTCAAGTTAAAAACACCTACATCAACGAGTTGGAGACCCGGTCCTGTCATGGAAAGACTAAGAGCATACACCCAAAAAAAATCTCTCTTCAAAGTTCAAACATAAGGTCGCCCTCCTCAAATCAAAGAAGACAGCTTCATTTATGGTTACTCCCGCCATTAATGTCTTCAACAACTTGGCTCGAAGATAAGGAAACACATAGTACATAAACCATGTTGAAGATTGAAGAGGACACATACAGATAGTACAACCGTAGGCTAAGCAAGTAAGCCATGACTAAAACAAGTCATGGAATCCGCAAAAGAAAAATCCACACGTACACAAAGCATTTGGGAGGTAGTTGGGAAGTCATTATCTTGGTCCTACCTCATTAATTCCCGGCTCCTCAAATCATTTCTTGGCTGAGATGGATAAAAAAAAAACCCAGGAACGAAGACGAAGAAGAAGAAAACTTAGGAGAATAAGCCAAAAGCTTTCTTTTATTCGATTCTTAATTTCATGATGATTCCCCAATGCCGGCGAGAGTCACTGGGAAGGAACTCAATTTGCATTTAAGAAGAGAGGGACAAACACGAGGTAGAGAGGAATTTATAAGAAGAAGCAATCAGGCTTCGAAAATTCCCCAGCTGCCATAGCAGCCCACAACTACCTCCCGCACTTCATTAATTACAGAACCCCCCATTGTTGTTCTCTCTGTACGGGCCCCTAACGAAGAATCAATCAATAAACCCAAAGCAGACTCGAACTTCCCCCCGGCAGCTCAACTCCAAATCAAAAATTCAAAATCCTAAGTTAGGAAAGGAAGGCAGCGCGACAATCGACATGCAGAGAGAGCGAATCAAACAGTCAATCGACCAATTCATCGAAGTAAGAAGAGCTCTTAATTACCTCATAGAGAGTTCCTTCGAGCTCGGGCTTGGCGAGATCCTTGTACAGAGCTTCGACGACCTCCTTCTCGCTGTCGTCGCACATCCTGACGACGTTCTTCAGCTGAGCCACCCTCCAGCTGTAGCTCCGAGTCCTGCCGGAATCGTAAGCGACTCTCAGCCCGTTGACTAGTTGCTTGGCTTCCTCCTCTCCAAACACCGTCACCTTCTCCTCCCCGATCGTCGTCGCCATTTTCTGATGGCCCCCCAAAGAAGAGAAAAAAAAAATTCAAAATTCGTTGATCAGTGAACAAAGCTTCGGTGTAACGGGTAATGCTCGATTGTGAAAATGGAGATTTTGGTGGATTTGAGATTCTGAGGAGATTTTTTTTTCGTAATATTTGGCCTGCGCTCTAATTTGGGTATTATTATGATATAACAAGGGTGCCGAGAAATTTGGCTACTTTCTTGTCGGCGAGTGTGGGTTTGGGCGCGGGGACGGGGAATCATATGTTTCAGTTTTTATTTTTCATACGTGCGCGTGGGGTGGAGACGATGGCGTGGAGCGCGTGGGGGACGATGGGCAGGTGCGTGCTGGCGTTTCTTTGCTTGGAGCCTTGCCCTCGGGGGGGTTTTTTATTTTATTTTTTATTGATGGGTTTTATTTAATATATAATGTAATCTAATAATTGTTTTTTCCGTGGTTGATGAGCGGTCCACTGCATCATTTGGAACTAACTTGACCGGCCGGCCGGCCGTGACGTGACGACTTTGTGATTGTTCGGATGGTGAGAGCTTTTTTTCTTGTTTCTGCAGTTTGGTGAGCGAACGTCATAATGGTGACCTGCTTCAATATTTTGGTGAAAACTGAAAACAATCCCCTACAAACGTACCAGATGACTAATTATTTCTTTTCCGTTCGAATGAATCGTACGAGATGAATAGATAATGATGCTTGGCTCGTTAGTAACTCGGCGTTTGTAGCCGGTAAAAAAATCGTTCGACACTCGGCTCGTTAGTAAACAAGCGGAGGTTGAACTAGACCATGGATGCTCGGTTTGATAAGCTCGTGAGCTAACTTGACTCGGTGGCTTGTTGAGCTAGGCTCGCGAGCTGGATTGTTTAGAGCTTCTGGATTATCAAAATTCGAGTTCGAGCTCGAGCTCGAACTGACATATTTATAAACGAGTCGAGCTCAAACTAAACAAAACTCAACTCCACTCATTTGCAGCTATAACTACACCGTATCAGATGACTTTGTTGTGGGACAATCCAAGTACCACATTGGTAATACAAGGGAAGGAACCCTTGTATATTAGTGTCCACCAAGCTCATTACTACGAGGCCTTTTGGGGAGGACACCCAAGAGTAAAAAGCGTGCGGGCTTGGCCCAAAGCGGACAATATCGTACTAATTGAGCGGTCCGATTTGTGACAAGTGGTATCAGAGCCTGGTTCGCTCCGGGGCGGTGGACGTCAGTTTGGTGGACCCTCATTCGGTGACCTCGGGGTTTGAGATCTGCGTCTGGTTTGGTGGATCCAGGAGAGATCCACGTTTGGGCTTGGCGGATCAAAGAGAGTTCTGCGTCTGGTAAAGTCCTTGTACCCAGAAGCCCATCGATACAAGGCGTCTGGCGGATCAAGATAATCGCTGAGGTGAGGACACGAAGTTCGTGGTCCTTGTCTTGAGGGGAGGATTGTTGTGGAACAATCCAAGTACCACATCGGTAATACAAGGGAAGGAACCGTTGTATATTAGTGTCCACCAAGCTCATTAGTATGAGGCCTTTTGGGGAGGACACCCAAGAGTAAAAACCGTGCGGGCTTGGCTCCAAAGCGGACAATATCGTACTGATTGAGCGGTCCGATTTGTGACAGACTTATTATTTCTTTTCCTTTCGAATGAATCGTACGAGATAATGGATAATGATTATGTTCATTAGCCAATGTTGGGAACCAGAGTATAATCCACAAGAGTTTCCTTTTTTTCTTTTCTTCTTCTTTCTGTTTTGTATTATCCGAAAAGAAATAGCAAAAACATCTTGTTGAACAATCACGGAAAGCATAGTGATTGCGCATCAAATCATTAGTTTAATCGCTTGCAAATAGTTAGTTGAGTTATTTGGTTACCTAATATTATAAAAAAGGATTTGTTTCTTTGTAAGAACCCTCCACTTGAACTAGAAAACTGCATTCCGAGATTATTTGGAGTGGTTTGGTTGTTGGATTTGAAAATGAGAGTTTTGAGTTTGAAATTTTTTGGATTTATGATGCATTTGTTGGGTTATGAATTTGAAAGAGTTTATCATTTGTTTAGTTGATTTTTTTTAATATCATGAAGTTGTTGCTTTTTGCATCAAATTTGGCTTTCATTAAATCAAATCTCAAATGAAATGTGGGATTTGCATATCCGTGAGGTCCATGGATTTATGTCAAAAAAGTCCAAATCCGTGCGTTCCACGAGTCGCTGTTCCAAGTTTTTACCCCACAAATAACGGAGTTGTTCAAATCTATGATGCTTGGAATTTGGGTGTCAAATCCATCACCCAGGGGCGGATCTATGTAGGCTCTCGGGGGGGGGGGGGGGCACCCCCTCCGAGAATTTCGAAACTTATGTATAAAGTCCTAGGAACATTCGAGAATTACGTATAAAATCAACAATAAATATATTTAAAATCCGAGTGACACATTTTTGACATAATCTTCTTATAGCCTATCGGATTTGTAGTCGAATAGCAGCAGAAAGGTACTAGGTTTGAGCCTGGTAGGCAGCTTTTATTATTTTAACTTTTTTATTTATTTTATATTCACTTTAATTCTTCAATTTCCAGGTTGGTCTTGTAAATCCGATGATTTCAAATAACGTTAGTCAAGTTATTCAATTTTTACATTAATATTTCATGGATGTGTTTTGGATATGTAATTAAATAATAATTCATATAAATACAGTATAATCATTTATTTTGAACATAGTATACTAGAATACTTTAAATTAATTCTATTTTGATTATTTTAACTAATGTTATGTCATTATAAATTTTAGTTTTTTTTAATATTTTCGCGGTTATGTACTTACTAACTCCGGGCCCCCCGAATTTTAATTCCTAGCTCCGCCCCTGCCATCACCAAAATACTACAAGTAACGAACAAGGACTTGTCCTAGTGCTAATACCACTAGCCTAGAACCTGCAGGTCTCAAGTTCGAAATCCTTAAGTAGCACATTAATCACAAAATTGAAACTTATATCACCCTTGTAAAAAAATACTACAAGTAAATGACCCGTTAATAGTCCTAACTTAACTTTATCGTTCTAGACTTGAGTGACAACATGATTTAAACAAAGGCAGAAAGAGGTCAGTGCGAGTAAATTAAATCAGAAAAAAAAAGAGATTATCCATATTATGTTTCCCCTAGATCTAGTGGATATTTAGATCGTGTGAGTAAATTGACTCTTATGATGGATTTCACCCTATCATATCTTGTATCTTTGTTTATCATATTTAATTTGGCTATTATGAGTCCTGCATATATATATCTCTTGTGCAATTCAACCGATTGATGATCGATCGTGAGAGTGGTCGTATCTGGTATTCTCCAACACAAAGTTGGTTTAGAAACTTATCATATGAGATGATAGCTTCGGTTTGGCATGCAATTGTCTTGACTCTTGACAATAATCCTTCCAAGAACATCAAACAAACTTTAGATTATAGAAATAATCCATCAATCCTAGGGTTCTACGTGATAGCTTCGGTTTTTTAATATTGACTTCTTAGAGTAGCTGGTGCTTCCTCAAAATTGGCTTGTATACATAAATTCCAAATCGGCATGTTTTTAGTCGGTTAAGTCGTCGATTTGGTCTTCTGGCCGTCAATTTGGTCGACTCATTTTGAGGTTGGTTTCCACTGCTGCTGGGTCGTCGGAATACAAAAATGCAAAGCTCCAAAAAACGGCGCCCATGCCGCCAATTTTGGGCTCTAGATCCAAACTCCATTTATGAATTTTTGCTCGCACATAGTGGTCCACTAGAATACTTTGGACTAAAAACACACTTGAAATATTATTAAAGTGCATCAAAATAGTAAAAAGGTTCTTAAAGCAACTAAACACACCTTTAAGCATTTATCAAGAAAATTCAAGTTAATATGACAATAAATATGTGAAAACAGTGTAAAACATGCCACTAAATAGGGTATAAATAGTATAATTTATGTGTCATCAAATAACTCAAACTTGAACTTTGCTAGTCCTGAGCAAACCATACTCCCAATCATACAACTCAACAAATCTCTAGGATGACATGTAACTTTCGATTGTATGTAGTGGATAATAAGCAGCTTACAAGATCAATCATCATATTTAGAGAACTTGAACACATCAGTGAGATATATATCTCGTAAGGACAATTTGACCAACCTCCATCTACTACGAGCACTTAACTCAACTCGAGAGTCTAAAAAAGTATGGGGTGAAGCATTTTTTTTCAAACTTTGTTTTACTTTTAGGGTAAATACAATTTAATATCCAAACCTTTCATTTTAAACAATATAATAGCCAAACCTTTTCGAAAACAATCTAATATCCAAATCATCAACTTTCCGTTCGTTTGACCGTTAGTTGACACTTCAAAAAAGTTCGAAGTACTACGCTTCATCAATATCCATCGATATCTTCTCTGAAAAACCACCAACACATCGTGGTTCCAAACCCGAGAAGTCCATGACTCCACCATGATGGTATAGAATATCTAAATATTCAGTCATCTGCAATGCCAAAACAAGAAAACAAAGTTGTATTGTGACAATTTCCCCGAAACAAAGCTTTTTTGAAGTGTCAACCAACGGTCAAACGGACGGAAAGTTGACGATTTGGATATTATATTGTTTTCGAAAAGGTTTGGCTATTATATTGTTTAAAATGAAAGGTTTGGATATTAAATTGTATATACCCTTACTTTTTAAGCACATCTCTATCCTTGTTTAACAATGAAAGTTTTTGTTCTCTCTTTTGAATTATGTGCCAAAAATTTGCATTGTTAGCACAAGTGGGTTTTTGCTTTATACTTTTGGACATAGCTACCATGACGGAGCAAGAGCAATTTTTGCATCTTAGCACTCACTCGCATAAGGGCTTTATTTAACTAATTATCCTTGACCTGTGTCGAGTGGCAATGCTATAGAGGGGTGTCAAAAACTCTATACATGCCCACTAAGCACAACTATCAAACGACACTTCACTCAGTGGGGGATTATAGTAGATAAGCAATGTTGCACAACCGCAAACTGATGCTTGGTTGACCCTTCCCATTTCCCCATGTGTAATGAGTGATTGTCTTACACATGGTATATTTTACCATACCCTTTATTCTTTAAGCCAATTTTCTTTATTCCACTTGTCATATAGGCGATAGATTCATTGAAAGATTTTAATAACTCACGAAGGATAGTGACATGCATTGCATCCAGACACATCAAATGGTCTTTAATTTCATGATGAGGACATCCTTCATAGTCACTACACCAGCCTTCCTAAATCACGTATCAACGTAGAGACAAGCAATTCAAAGTAAGGTGAGCTTACAATTACGAAGGAGAGTGTGGCATTATTCAAAATTTTCAAATTTTTATGCATAATGCACACATATGCCGGTAAGAGCATGAAGATAGTCTACAATAGCATATCTCACCCCACACTTTATAAAGGAGCAATTTCCTCATTGGACCAAACAATCAACGAGCATTAACAGATAGGCAAAACACGAGAAGTAGGCAAAACTCAATAATTTCCAACAAAACTTCAAATAAACAAACGAAAACATAATTGAAAGTGTAACATCCCGAACCTTTTCCTGACGAAGATATTGTCCACTTCGGGTCTTGAGAGCGGTAGTTCTCCTACTATTTTATGGAGAAAATTCAATAAAATAAATCAAAAAGAAAATATCATTATTGCACAAGTGTTTTCCTAGAATCAATCAAAATAGAGACCTATTTTGATGTTAGATACAATACCTTAATTAAAAAATAAATTAATAATAGATTTTAATGTTGTGCAAGGTTGTCAAACCGGTTCATATCATTTTTTCGGTTTAACAAGTGGAATGGTTCGACCGGTGGTACAATTGGTGTGCCGATTCATGTTGGTTTAACAAAATATGTAAAATGTGAAAATCCGTAAACAAGAAATGAATTTATTCATATATAAAATATATTTGTAGACAATTTATTTATGATTGACATTGATATTCAAATAAAATGCGACATTCATAATAAAATTACAAACAATACTCATATTTAAATACAAACATTTAACGTCAATACCTAAATGTTTATACTTGAATTCAACAAATAATATCATATTTAACTTTTAAAATCATAAAATAAATGATAAATTAACTTTTTATTAATTGAATTCACTAAAACGTCGTCATTTTGCTTAGAGATAGTAAATCGATCATGTCGAACATACTTGTGGTGTTCTCGCCAGTTTCATGACTGGTACCGAGATGTTGTATACCACAAAGACACAAATCACTTTTGCAACTGCAAAATAATGGTAGTATATCAGAAAAATAGTTCATTAATTATTGACTTAATCTCTGGTTCGGAGAGTGCTAACTGTCTCGTGGACTAGTCCCGAATTCCGTGGATACCACACAAATTGGTGTGCGTGTTCGTTTTGTTTATCGTTTCGCTTCTTCTCGTTTAGGTGATCTCGTTTGGTTAACATAAAAACTTAAGAAAAAAGTGGGAAACAAAGATGAGTCTGGTTTTTCAGTTTTTTATTTTATTTTTTATTTTAGAAGGAATAAAGAGAAGGTGCTTACAATAATGTCGAGATAGCTAGGAAACATCGATGTAGCGAGTGGATGATCTTTATTCCGTAGAAAAAATTGTCTAGTAATTTGGTACACTTCATGGAGAATTGGAGTAAAAGTAAAATCGTAGCATGGCAAGTGGTTGTGATTTGTGAAGCATGAGCTTCGGTATCATATAAAATTTTGTGAATGACTTCTTACTTGCTTTCATTTATAGGTTAAAGTCATATTTAAATAAGAGGAATAGATCAATTTTATGTGATTATGCTATACGTTTCTAGGAGGATAAAGAAATGTAGTTCTATTTTGAGATTGGAATAAATTTAACCACAACAACGCAACACAGTATAGTGAACCAAACCGAAGCAACAAACCAAAGAATATAGAACAGCTGACAACCTTACTGCGAGACCCAAGGTGCAATGGACATAGGAAAACCGGCAAAGTAAAGGCCGTCGTCCTTGATCTCCCACGTAATTTCATGAAGCTGGGGCATCCCTTTCTTCTTCTGGCTTTCGTCGTATGAGTTGAAAGAGAGATGCTTCTTGCTATTTGTAATGAATGTGTAATTTGATTTACAGCCATTGCCTTTTTTATAGTCTTATTAATTAATTCCTTAGTTCATAATGAAGGGAAGCATTGGAATGTTTGTGTTAAAGAGTAAATGATGGTGTATACATAAAAAGTCCAACTTCTGTTTGCTAAGAAGTACCCAATTTTGAATTTTCCCTTCCAGCTATGCAGAGACTGTAAAAACACGTTGCCTACTGCTGACGTCGTTTGGATGTGGAAATTTTAAAACGTTGAAATTTGTATGAATTTCCATGTTGTACAAAACCAAGGAATTGACTTGTGGAAATTGAAAAAAAATCACGTTTGGATAAGGTTTAGTTTTGTGGGAATTGATGGTGTGGAATTTGGAAAAAGAATTAAGAAAACGTGGTAATGTCAAATTACTAGGGGGAGGTGTAGTATTCTCAATTACCATGAATGTGGTAATTGAAGCCAATTTCCATGGTCCAATTTCCATACCATTTTTGCTCTCCCAAACATGGGTTTTTAACCCAATTACTGCGTTATGTGATAATTGGATCCAATTACTGCATCACATTTCCACATCCAAACGACCCCGTAATATCCTTCAATCCTTGGCATGTTTTCTGTATCATATAGCAAATGAACAAATGATGCGGTGTCGTTTTTGGGTCAAGCCAATCTGTCATTGACGGAAAGGGCGGCTCCCTTCCCTGAGTTTTTCTTTATCACGAGTACTGTTAAGTATTAAAACATCACGTTTCAGTATACTTCTTCTTTGCTTTATTCTCTATTTTTTTTTTTCTTAAAACTTTTGTTACCTTATAGTCTCCTGGTTTCTAACTTAACTTCTGAACAATTTAACATCACTTTTGAGTATACTTATTCTTTGCTATTTCTATTCGGATAATACAAAACAGAAAGAAAGAAGGAAAAGAAGAAAGGAACCCTTGTGGATTATATTGTGGTTTCCAACATTTGCTAATGAACAATATTCATTCATCTCCTATGATAACGTAGAAGATGACTTTTTCTTTTTTATCGCCGCCATAAGAACGAAGATTTAATTTTTTATTAGACTTTCTTCCCGATCATACAAGAGGGCACATTTTTTATCCTGTGTTTTGTTAGAGAGAATAAGAGGTGAGATTACTTATGACTCTTATTATTAACATTAACTACGCTAACAACAACAATAGTAAAAAGAAGAAGTAAAAAGTAAATCAATTGCGTAACATACTTAACTTCATAATAAAAATTTATTACTCTCTTACTCAATTAAGTTCTCATAACCTATTCAGGTGGCTCAACTTAATTGATTATTTTTTTTAATTTATTTAATATTTGAATTCTCTTAAATATCATTGTAATAATTTTTATTTATTGATTGACGATTTATTTACATTTTTAATATATTTTTATGAAAAAATGGACCACGTTTAGTTTATAGAACATGACCTCCATTATAGGAGGGGCGATCATGTGGTTATGATGATGCTTTTAAATATGTTAATTAATACTCGTGTTAGTCATTGGTCAATATTCTTATGTATATAGATGATATATTTGTATTCACCGTTTAAGTCATATTCGTATTCTGAAAGCTCGATATGTGTTATAAAATGATACAATAAATTATTAATGGATTAAAGATGACGATGGTTGATAATGATTTCTCGCATAATACAAAAAATTGAAAAGTTAATAAATATTTTGTTTCAACTTTTTTTATTTTTTAAATAACGTTGTTATGGGCATTTTATTCTATTTTATTCAAAAAAGGACCACATCTCAATTATAGAATAGGGTCTCTTTTTTTAATTTCGGTATCTTACTCAGACAATTGTGATTCCTTTGGTTTTTTGAGTATCTGGAGAGAAGTTGGAAGGAAATGAGACTGGAATAGATTTTGATCGAAATGAACAAATCCTGCTTATTGTTTGGTGTTCGTGGTGAAACGAGTGGTGGTAACGTTGACAGGCCAAAATGATTTCGGCCCAATGGCTGCGTCTTCGAGAATGAGCCAAGGCCCAGAGGTTTGGCCTGTTTCTCCAAGTCGAGGGACTTCACTCCAACCAGTCATCCTTCTGTGCAGTCGTTTCTTTCTTTTCTTCGATCAAACACCTTCCCCTAAAACTTACGGGTGGTTTGTTGTTTTTAATAGTTAAATTGATTTATTGTCATTAATGTATGCATATAATATATATAATATATATGTATGTTTTAAGTTAGCGTACGTCAGACACGTACAATGTTATACTACCATATGATGGTCGAGTTTTACTTTTTAGAGCATGAATTAACCGTCGTTTGAGAGATGATACGATACTTTAACCAGTAATGGGTGAACTCTAGTCCCTAATTCTCTAACCGAGTCACAAGATTCAGTTAGTCTAAAAAAAATAATCGACGGTGAAGAAATCGCACAAAAGTAGCTCCAAAAACTCCCGAAGTTGTACTCTCTCTAGGGTTCTCCCACTTTCTGTTTTTTTATCCGAAAACTAACTCCTTAACAGAAATACGCAAAGCCCTATTATACCCGACAGTGGCAAAAGTCACATTTGGACCGTGAAATATGACAAAAGAACACAACCTAGCATAAAATCGGCAGACATGAGAGAATTTTCTAACTAAACGACCAAGAAATTGATCAAGATACAAAAGAGTAAATATGTATAATTAAGCATGTATCAGTGCCTGCTGCCAGAAGCTTTCAAGATGAATTCGGGTGACCAGAGGCTTTATTATATCGAGTTCCACCGTGGTCAGATCCGACATCGGGGAGTGATCGGAGATCATTTCCCAACCTACTTCAACAACATTTGTTCCTGTTAACTTTAGATGACGGTAGGACCAGTCAGTTAAAATCAGTAGCGGAGTCATGAATCTAAACGAGAGGGGCTAAAAGCCTTACCGCCTATTACATTTCTCAAAAATGCTACCAAATTTACAAATAATTTTACGCGATTTTGCGAGTTGAAATTTCAAACTTCAAATGCCAATTTGCTACTTGGGGCCAAAGTATAGGTGTTTGGAACTCGCAGTCATACAAATATTATTTTCATATTGTAAAGGCAAGGAGGAGCATCTATGCATTCACATTCAAATTCAACTCAAATGGAGTCGAGGGTCAAATGGAGGCGGCTCTCTGGCTCACACATAATAACACGCCCAATCCCGTGCTGCTTCGTCTCACCCACTAAACAAAAGCTTAGAGCCTAGCTTGATCGCGTGCGTGCCATAATCCGATCAAGAAAGAGAGAGAGAGAGAAAGCTGGGGCCGCTCATCATCCGAAACCAGTGGAGAAACTAGAAAAAGCCCAGAGACCCAGCCAAAAAAAAAAAAATGACACTCTGCCCGTCGTCTCACCTGCTGCCACTATCCAACTCGCCATCGCCGCCACCAATGGCTGCCTCTCTCACCACCTCCTCCGCCGCTTCTCGCCTCCTCCTCCTCCCTTCCGCCTCCGCCCGAGCTCCACTCCACCGACTCTCCGCCCCTCACTCCACCAACACTTCTCTCGCTGCTTCCTCCTCCTACGCTTTCTCTCCTCTCAAATGTCGCCGCTACTCCCCTCTCCCCCCTCGCGCCTTCTCAAACCAGGTACGTCTCTTCACCTTCCTGTTCTCAGTTTCTCTGCCTCTTCGTCTTCCTTTCTCAGTTCGCCTTTGTTGATTTTGTTTTATTGGAATTTTGCAGAGGGCGTCTTCCATGAGCACTGTTGCCGCGGCTTCCGATCCTGCTCAGTTGAAGAGCGCGAGGGAGGACATCAAGGAGATTCTTAATTCAAAGTTTTGCCATCCGATTCTGGTAGTCGTCCCTGTGTTTCTGTTTGGTTCTTCACTGGTGGTTTTTTTGATGTTGTTGAACGGACTGTGGGCTTGATTGCTCTTTCATTTCAACATTTGAAACCAGGTTCGTCTGGGATGGCACGATGCCGGCACCTATAACAAGAGCATCGAGGAGTGGCCGAGGAGAGGTGGAGCCAATGGAAGTCTCCGATTCGAGATTGAGCTCAAACATGCTGCAAATGCCGGTAACTTTCTTCTTTCGTTTGAAAAAAAACATCTGCTCTCGTTTCTTGCCTTGCTTTTGAGGACAATGGCGTTTATTCGGTCTGTTAATTGGGAATGGCGGATCGTATTCTAGGGCTTGTGAATGCGCTGAGTCTTCTTCAACCTATCAAAGAAAAGTACTCTGGTGTGACTTATGCTGATTTGTTCCAATTGGCCAGTGCTACTGCCATAGAGGTGGGTCGAATTTTACTCTAGCTTCAGTTACTTAGTATAGGCTCAAATAGGAAGTTTCATTATGAATTGTTGTTACTGATGTTACTTGCTGCGAATTTTGTTCATATTAGGAAGCTGGGGGTCCTAAAATCCCAATGAAATATGGGAGGGTTGATGTGTCTTCTGCCGAAGAATGCCCAGAGGAAGGAAGACTTCCTGGTAATTTGATCTCCCTCTTGTTTGGTTTGGTAATGGCCATAAGTAGATATCAAGTCTTTCGTCATCAGCATGCTGTAGCGGATGCTTAACTGTCTAAGCTTCGGCCAGTTTTAGTAATCATTAGCATAAATATTTGTTCAGAGTTTGTGATTGTTTTCCATTTTCATGTCGATAATTGAATGGTATTTTTTTTGGGTACTTAGCTGCTGGTCCACCAAGTCCTGCTGATCATTTGCGGGAGGTTTTCTACAGAATGGGATTGAACGACAAGGTAATGCTGGTTCTTGATTCTGCACTGGATGGCTTCTCAAACTTACTTGTGACATTTCTTTCTAATTGTGTTATACTCCTCCATATTCAGGAAATAGTTGCACTGTCTGGTGCACACACCTTGGGAAGGTCCAGGCCAGATCGTAGTGGTTGGGGGAAACCAGAGACTAAGTATACGGTATGAAATTAATGTGTTCTCACATGAATATCCACACAATAGATCAGAAGCCTCCGTGTTTTATCTTCTAGTGAGCTCAAACGATTTACACCCACGGAATTTCTATTGTGAAACTGGTGCATTGTAAATATTCATATGAAAGAAAACAAATATAACTTGGTGTCAGGACATATTTGCATTCCTATTTCCTTGTTTAATGCATCGTGTAGCACAGTAGAATTTACCTTTATGCGCTGCTAGTTAAGCTGTCAGTGATCTTACAACATGATGTGGATGATTTGTGGTGAACATCTTAAAGTAGTTTTGTTGAAATGCTTTCGTTTTGATCTTGCTGTCTAGACTTGAGCCAGTTGTTGGTGAGAGAATTGTAATTTTGATGCCAACAAGTATTGACTGCAGCAAGCTAGAAACTAGGTGTAGCAATTTACATTTGTGTCTTATTGTGGCAGAAAAATGGGCCTGGTGCACCAGGTGGGCAGTCATGGACAGCAGAGTGGCTGAAGTTTGATAATTCTTATTTCAAGGTATGAATCCAGAATGTAAAATCTTACATTCCCTAAGAAAGCACTGGGACTATGAAGCGTAGAATATGAATTTTTGGGGCTAAGCATACATCTTCGTCTGCCTATGATATGTATAATAAATTTATGCAGGATATCAAAGCCCAAATAGATGAGGACCTACTGGTATTGCCTACTGATGCTGCTATCTTTGAAGATCCTGCATTCAAGGTGACAAATTTTGACTGATGTTCTAGATAGTAGGTCAGTTTTTCATACCAAAATGCTGTTCTCAGCTAAGCATCAATCATTTCTGCAGGTGTATGCTGAGAAATATGCTGAAGACCAGGATGCTTTTTTCAAGGACTATGCGGAAGCCCATGCCAAGCTCAGCAATCTAGGAGCCAAGTTTGATCCTCCTGAGGTATGTAAAGCCATAAATTCCTGAAAACAACTGGATTCATCTAGCAAAAGCTTCCCGGGTTGCATGAAGCCATGATGTCAATTAGATATCTCACTGGAGTGTGCAGAAAAATCTCTCCATCGTTTACTTGTCTTGAGCGTAGGCCTTACTACCAGGGATCCCAGGTTTTAAAATCGATAGTAAATCACAAGCATGAATGGTTCGAATTAGATACTGGGATATTTTACATATGGCGAGACACTTTACGTTCCTTGTCCTGCACGTAACAAGCTCCACATTTTCGACCTCCTCGCTCGCTGAATGATAACATTTACGACCTCAGTGAATGGTGAAATAACATGGCAACTAACGAATGCCTTTGGGAGCAGGGTATTGTGCTAGATGGCGTTCAAGGAGAGAAGTTTGTGGCAGCCAAGTACTCATCTGGAAAGGTTAGTAGTACCCGTAGAAATGTTTCACGCTACTCTTCTGTTCAGTCTCCATTTACCACTGGTTCACTCTGATTTCACTCTGTCAGATTCTATTGCATACTACACATTGTTCATTGTTTCCACTTTCTATGATTTGCTGCAGGATTAAGAATAAGAAAAAAAACAAGTAACCGGTATCATCATATAATAATATGAGGATGAGAAGATATATTGAAACCCTACCTATCAATATTCACAACTAAATCTCCGGAAGTGGAAATGAAGGAGAAACACCGAATAAAAGGAAAATTTCGAAATGAGTGTGGTTGCGTATTTGAATTGCAGAAAGAGCTATCAGATGCAATGAAGCAAAAGATCCGTGCTGAGTACCAAGCAGTTGGTGGAAGCCCAGATAAGCCTCTGCAATCTAATTACTTCCTGAACATTATCATTGTGATTGGTGTTCTTGCAATTTTGACATCTCTCCTCGGGAACTAGAAAAGTTTTTGCGTTGCATATTTGTATTGCTGATTGATACCAAGTATATTGCTTTGTTTGTTGCTCGTTGCTCCAATTCCGAGCCTTGTGTTTTCTTTTACTTCATATGCTGCATAGCTATACATTCATATATGAGCTAGTAGGACAGGTAAACGGTTATTCTGTTAGTAGTGCAATTGATAACTAAACTGAAACCAAAATCGAAACCAATGGTTATCGATCACACCGAGAACTGATTAAATAGTAAATGATCGGTTTCTTGTGGTGAAATGCGATGTCTATACATTACATGGGCATAATGTTTGCGACCCAATGGGCCCAACCTTGATGCTCCCCTTTCTGCTTATTGCCAGTATTTAAATTTAGCGTCGTCAATTAGATCGCTAGAATTTTCTGCGTACATCTAAACTCAACATGTCGACCTTTTCTGGTTGTTACTTGTTCCTTGGAAATGTCATTTAGTTGAACCACTTTCCCAGGTCTGCGATTCTGGTCTACTGAACGTTTCTTAAGCATGATGAGGCCCAAAGTGGAAGGTTGCAGTTCAAACTTATATATATATAATAATCATTTTCCTTCTTAAAGACCTTGGAACTTTTAAATTTTCAAAAACAATTGGTTTCATTGCTTGTTGCTTTGTCTAGTTCAACAATACGGCTTATCTGAGTGAGTTATATGGACCCACTGGATTAGAAGCTTCTCAAGCTCAAGTTTTTACCTTTTTAGTTAGAGATCAACGTCTTGGGGCTAATGTGGGATCAGTTTAAGGACCTACAGGTTCAAAAGAAAACGTCATTTTGGAGTTTCATCAAAAATTGAAAATGCCATTTTGGAGTTTTATAAAAAATTTACTTGTGTAGTGTAGGCGGCGATCCAATATTTTCAGAATTTTGGAAAACTCACAGATGAGTTGCACCAGCAATGCGGTAAGAACTATGGGTCTAGATGTTGATAGGAGCACGAAACCAGTGTTGTAGTTATTAAAGTCACGCTGCTAAGAATGATAATGAAAGAGAAGGATAGGGCGTAATTGAAGTGCAATCTCTCACATGGGAGAAGGCTCTATTAAGATAAGAGTAGAATCTCGACCACAATCAAGGTGAAAACTCGATTGATATAGAGAAAAAATTCACATGCCTAAAGTTCAATGAATCAAAATAAACTCAATATTCTTCAATGTTTGTGATAGAACTCGAGTTTAAGCCTTTATATAGGACAGAGAATAAAAAAACTAAACAAAAACCCGAAAAGGAAAAGAATCCTAAGCACAAAACGTAATTTTAACTCGTCAGAGGCAACTCCACGGTCTGTCTTCTTGTTCCACGGTCTTGGAATTGATGTCCTTGGGCGGGGAACTCTTCCGCCCCAAATCCCTTGTTTGTCCTTCTATTCCACGGTCGTGGAATTGGATGGTCTGACCGTGGATTTTCAACTATTCACCATACGATATTCGGGCTGCTCGTTTGGTGTCCAGGAAGTTTCGATCTTTTCATCCAACGCCTTTACGATTTTTAACAAGACTTGTACTCTCACCTCCGACTCCCAACTTCCCTCGAATAGCTCCCAATATGAACGAGTAAGCGTCCAAAGCAGGTACCTTGAAATTGTTTTCGCACTTAGCTATTTTCAGCTCGTCATTCCTCCATGAATTAATCACTATTTTGAAAGTTTGGGAATTGACATTCTTGGTGGCGACGGTACAAAGGAGAAGGGAGAGGAAGAATTGAGAATCATATAATCCGAGAACTTCCCACTAGCTACTCAAACTAACATTTTTCTAATAACTGATAGACTTATCTAAATAGTGAAACGATTCAGAAATCATGTTTCTAACAAATGATACCAAGTGATTTTAATCTTGGACAAAACCTTGAGTTGATATTAACTTCTAATTCTTCATATACATGTTTTAAGACGCTTTTTGTATGGGAATGAAATCTATAGCTGGTGTTCGCTTTGAGCCTTTGACTTATGCTGCGTATGCTTTTTGTGTTCGCTTATTGCGGTTGGTAGAGAACTTCGGATCTCGTGAGTTAAGGTGAGTTGTTTAATTTTGTCTATTTCAACATAGAATTTTTTTTGTCAAACTTGCTTGGAACTTGAGCAATGCCCCTACACCCCAAGCTTTCAGTCTTCCCGCGTTTTCTCATATAAACTATTCCCGTGAACTATTTGTATCTAGACTCAAACCTAATTTTCAAGTTGATTGAAACATTGATACTAACGACTAGTTACAAGAATATAATAAAGGTTGGCCAGTCTTTTACTTTCTTATTAAGTTATCAGTTATTATAGGACTAAGAAAATAGAGCAGACGGTTTGAAATTTGTGGATCAAATTGAACTGCATAGTTTGGTATGGATTGTAGACCTGTAAAAACGATCTGGTTTGGTCCATAATATGTTTTATAAGATGTATTGATCTCTTTGTTTGGTCTTGTCCAGATCGCAATTTACAAAACCAAACTGTAAACCCAACTCACTTCCTAATTCGTGTTAACAACTCATCAGATCATTCTCTGAACTCATCAACAAAATCTAGGCTTCAACCCTTGCCAATTTTGCGAATCTCGTAGCCTCCTCCATTCATAAACCATACTCCTCCATATAGTAGAGTTGATCGTATCTCCATATGACATTGTATCAAAATTATGGATGCACGTTGAAATTTATGTTTTACGTAATAGTTTTTTTTTAATCTGTTATTGGTTCAAATTAATTTTGCGCGATTGATAAACAAACTGTTCACTTTTCGCTCAATTATGATCCATGTTTTGTACTTTAGCTTTTCGAGTTAGATCATAAATCGTATGTATGATCTAAAAGCGACATCATTTTTCGCCCTAACTTATTATCCATTGTGATGACTTCTTCAACATTTTGGATTCAAACATTTCCGCAGCATTTCCTTGTCACGACCCTTTTTCTGTGGAAGTCGCATATCAAAATTTCATACTGATCCAATAACTCAGCCATCATTTTCCTACATGCGAATTGATATTATAGTGTATGTTCCGACATGCATATATTAATGTATTTCCAAAATGCTTGGAAATCAAAATAGGATGATGTATTGAATGCGTCTTTTACAAAATTAAGAAGTATTGGGGACAAATGTTGGGGATGATTATACTTGTTTGTCTTAGGGAATATAATTTTAAGTGAGAGAAGGGACAATTGTATATAGTTTTTGCCAAAAGACAATTGTATATAGTTGTCTCCATAAAATTTTTAAAGAAACATATAATTTATTTCAACTCTATCTTCTATAGAAATTTCATGTTAAGCCAAATAGAGAACAAAAATACTATCTTACGAATAGCAAACGTAGTTGACAACTCTATCACAATCCTAAATTCCCAATCTCGAGCTTACGTACATACACCCTTATCCATACTAGTCGTCAGATGATCGCTGCTCTAGACATAGGCTTAGAGGTCTGTGCGGTTCCTAGAACTGCCAATCGGGCTGCGCATAGTGTGGCAAGAAAAGCCCTTTCTCTGTCTATTGTAAAGTTGCTTTCATTTGATTTTTGTTTCTTGGGCAGGACGGGATTTATAAAGGGATCGTAGTTGATGTATTTCTTGTGTTCTATTCTATTGTCATATCTCCGGTAAAAAAAAAAAAAACAATGCACAATTCAAAAGCTCATTACTCTTTTTATCTACATACTCTTCCTGTTATCCTTGTCAAAAAAAATAATACTCTTCCTTTTATATCTCGATGCTCGGAGATCTCTTTTTGCTAGTTCCATATCATGCCGATGAAAAATCGATCTTTGTTGCTCCAGGCGAGATGTACAGCTCTGAGACGAATAAGCTATTGAGGCATGGGTCAATTTTTATTTTCCCCCTCGCAGTCGTGCAGGCCAGTAAAAGCAAGCAGCAGGTCTTTTGTATGCTCCGGCCACAACCATATGATTGTCCAAGCTATCATTGCATTGAACCCAAAAGCCAAAAGGTGCGGTCCCTGATTCTGGCGAGCAGTACATCTGTGAAAAGTTCGTGGAACCGCAGAAGCTGAAGAGGAGCCCTAATTGACTGTGTTTCTTTTGCCAAATACATACATACATACATACATAAATGGTGCGGTGAGAAAAGAGCTAATGCGCAATGAGGCATCAACATCAGAGAAGAAAAGGGTAAAACAAGAACAGCAGCAGCAGCAGCTTTCCCTGGAGAAGGGCAAAAGTTACGTGGTGGAAAAAGTGGGGTTAAAAAGTAGAGTGAAAAAAATGAAAGAAACAAGGACCTGCTGCAGAGAGTGGGTGAAAGAAATTATACCTATGGGGGCCATTTTTGGTGAAGCACATGGGTGGTTGTTTTGTGTTCTTTCTTTAATCCTCCTTAAAGTTTTACTGCCTTTCAAACAAAAATATACACTCAGGGAAATCTTGCTTTTGTTAGAGAGTGGTATAAGATCCAACATAACCTTCTCCCAACAACTCGAGTTATTGGGACTAACTGGTTCTTGACATGGTATCAGAGCTGGTTTGGCCAAGTGGTCGTGTGTTCGAATCTCCACGACCCCCAATATTAACAGTTGATTAAAGCACATGGTATGGTGGGCCTGTGCAAACTTCAAGCCCATGAGTTGGCTTTCGTTTGAGGGGGCGTGTTAGAGAGTGGTATAAGATCCAGCATAACCTTCTCCCAACAACTCGAGTTATTGGGACTAACTGGTTCTTGACAGCTTTCGTGCTTTTGCATTTACTTTTCATCTTTAATGTGTCTGGTTTGAAGAACCTTGCTCGATGATCATGGTGTCCCTTCTTCCCATGATGAAACTAGTTGGGACGTAGAACTGTAGAAGAAACCTAGACATGAGATGAGACCACCAACAACAAAGAGAAACTAAACCCAAGCTACAATCTTCATCCGACAAAATGTTTGTAGTCATCAGACTACTACGTTGAGTTTCATATATACATGATGGCAATTTCGATCCGATCCGTTGTTATAACGACTTGTTTCATCTGTTTACCTGCCTTGTAAGAGGGGTCGGACAGGGCGAGCATTAGTACTCTACTCAACCTGCCCACTCTAACCTGGCTCGTTTTGCTGTAATTATGTGTAACTTTACTTAAATTGCTTAGAATTTTACTTTTGTTACACTATTTTTAGCTATAATAAAGTTGTAAATAGGTGAAAGTGGAAACTCAACTTTTTGAATAATTATAATTTAGGGTTACCCTAATTATTAGTCAAACCTTTATCCCCTTCTTTTTTATTAGCCAAACCTATTATATTGCTACTAATT